ATATGTAAAAAATTTGTTATAACATTCACTGTTTTGAAAAAAAAATTAAGAATCTAATTTTGACTTTATTTTAAGCTAAGCATTAATATAAAAAAATAAATTGTATTTTCGATCAATTTTTACATCAATCAAAATTAATTTTATTATTTTTTAATGTACTTAATCTTTAATTGATTATTAAAATATCTCTTAGATCAAATTAGTTTAAATATGATATCATTATAGTTAATAATCTATAAGTAATAAAATTGAATCTTGATTTTAATTAAATAAATACCATCTTTTTATTTTTAGAGTTTCTGAATTTGAAACCAATACTTCGCAGCCATCAAAAATTACAAGACAGACAAACAGACCATGCACTAACAACGAATCAACAAACGTTGCGTGAGAATGAAACTTTGCTAAAAGAGTACGATTTGAAGTTGATCCCAGTAGACCCATAAAAGCTCTGTTTTAAGATTTTTACGTGGGAAAGGATGTTTCTTTTTAACTAGTTAATAGAAATTATAAAGTCAATTATAAATTAGTTTATCTAGTTTCAAGCAATAAATTATTTAATTTTTACATTAATACTGATCATATTTAATTTAATATTATTTTATTTAAAAAAATTTATCAATTTTTTCATAATATCAAATCTTTATATTAATTTTAAAAAAACATAAAATAGGCAAAAAGAATTAATAATTAGTTTTTTAAGATAAAAAATAATTAATCAGAGGAACTAATTTATAATTTACTCTAACTTATATAATAGTGGTTCAAGCTGTAGGTCATGAAGATGCATATTTTCGGTAATAGTAAACCTCAGCTTTAACATAAAAAAAAAAAAATTTAGACTTCCTTCTCAAGTACTTTTTGTTCCAAAATAAGTTAAAGAAACTAATGCTCAATTCCGATTCTAGGTAGCTAAATTTCTTATGATTGAAAGGGGCTCCAAAGTGGTAACCTTCTTCTTTTATTATTATTTTTTTTTCTAGCAGTAACAGTGTTATTGGGCTAGTTTTTACGTACGGTAAGACTAATTTTTTTTCTAATATGGTAAAAAAATATTTTTTAATATACAATTTTAAATATTATGAGAATAAATTTTTATGAGTACTGATAATAAAAATTGAATTATGCACTTGACCTACGAGTCAATATATGTTTATTAATGTACTACCACCTTGTTGTTGGTAACAGTTTTCTTCCATGCCAATGAAAATAATATATTATACACAATGAGTAATATCTTACAAATAATTTCTTTTTTGCCAAGTCAAAAGTGATGTTTAGTGTTTTTTTATTCACTTTAATATTAAACAAGTTAGGCAAGTTTTGGGCTGTGATAGTGGCAGAAAGGATGATGTTGGGGTGACACCAAGTCTATATAAGTAAACTCAATTCCTTGATATTAAACACGGTAGGCAAGTTTGGTTCATTAAACTCTAGGACTTGAGTTGATATTTTGTTAGAAAATGACAACATCACTAACCATCTTTAGACCAATTTTAGCTATTTTTTTATAGAAAAATTTAGAGAGAGAATATATTTACACGGAGAGAGAGAGAGAGAGAGTATATCTTTACATGTAATGTAAAAAGTTTGTTTGTGTTAATGGGTTGTAATTCAATTAAGGTTGTGTTTATTTAGGCGAAAACAAGTTTCAGTAATTTGTTTTTTTCATTTTTTAATTTTTGTTTCACGTTTAGGAAAAAAGTCAACAGAAAATGATTTTCATTCAACAAAAAATGATAGAATATTTTTTTTAAAAATAGTTTCCTAGTTAAAAAAGAGAAAAACATTTTTCTTCTTGCGAGCTTTCTCGCTTTCGCATTACTTACTTATCTCTCGATATATTTTAACAATTTTTCCTCTATTTTCTTTATATTTTAAATAAATTTTTTTATAAATATATCAAATTAAATTTTAATTATTCCTTATCAATTATTATTAATTATTTAATTATTTTTTTCTATTTCTACTAATATTTTATTTTTTGATTTATAGATTCATTAAATATTCTTAGAAACTATTTTTACACCTTAAAATTATTTTTATAATAAATATTTTAATAATTTATCTTTATTTTTTTTTACTATCATCTCAAACACCACCTAAACTATACTTAAATGATTGAAAATGATTATTGCAAGATTGTAATTTTTTTATAAAAAATTTGAAATTAATTAATTCATTAATAAACCCATTATTTTTCCAATACTATTCATTTGCAACTAAATCAATAATTTGTAATTTTAATCGGTTGTAAAATTTTGTTGTTAATTGTAGTGAATAATTAGTTATAAATTATTCCAACATTAATCTTTTGAAACCAAATGAATAATTATCTACAAATGATAACTAATAATTTATAAAAGTATTTTTTAGATTAAATTATCAGTTCAATTTCTCAAAAAAAAAAAAAAAGATCTTAATTGAGTTACCAAAATAACAATGGTAAGATTACTTAGAATATTTTTTTTTACTAAATGTGAATATTGACTTGATTTTGTCCTAAGTAATCTTGATGAATTGATTTGATGGTTAAAAGAGTATATTTTATTTTTTGAATTAAAATTTTAGAGTTAGTATTTATGAAAATTTTCTAAATTTGTCTAAATGTATCTTATATTGTGAAATTGTGAATATGACTTTTTAAAGTTTTATCAAAACTTGTTAATGTAACAATTACATACTCGTTTTTATATTTTAATTTTCCGTATCAAACAAACACTAGAATATATTTTTTAGCAGCTTTTTCATGTAATCGCCAAACGGCAGAAAATATTTTCTTGAAAAATAATTTTCTGAAAAATAGCTTCTTCAAGAATTGATTTTACCATAGAAGTTGTTTTCTCGTCAAACAAACGGAGCCTAACATTAATGTTTTTCTTCTTATTAAGATCTTTTCTAATTCTAATCTCTCTTTTGTTAAAAAATAAAATAAAATTATTTACTATAATTTTTGACACGTAAATAAATTAATAAAATTGAAAAGGAAGTGAAAACCTCTTTTTTTTTTTTTTTAAGTTGAAAGTATCAATTACATATTCTGCTTAAAAATCACGAGTGTGCATTGCATTATATATATATATATATATATATATATATATGGAGAGCCACAATTTTTTTTTTTTTCATTGAGAGGTTTATGGGTTTTGAATTACATAATAAGTGTAACTCTTATCTATTATATAATCACTAAAAAAACTAACGTTATTGATATTTGAAATTTACTTTGTTAAAAAAAAACTATGTACATGATTATTAGGCTAAATCCGTTTCTATTAGAACCACCAAGTTTGAGAATAAAGTGGGATTCCTGAGTCGAATGGCCCGATGAATCACTAATCAAAAAAGGATTTGATATAATCTACAAATATATATGGATTAAATAAAAAGTATGACGTATGGCTCACGGAGTGAGTGATTGTGAGTCTTTCATTCTCTCCATTAGTCGATATTAATATTATATTTTATTTGATTTCTAGTAAATCCTACAAAATTTTCAATATCATAAATAAAAAAGCATAATTTTATTACCATGTAGGAGGTGGAAATAAAAATAAAAAATGAAATAAATTTTTTTTCTAAATAATAATATATTATTTTTATTTATTATATATCAATTATTTTTATCACCACCACCACATCTATTAGTAGTGGTGATAAAAAAATTATTATTATTATTATCATCATTCCTTCTTAACCATTATTATCACTTTTATTATACCACTAATGACAATGATAATAAAAAAATTATTTTTTTGTCATCACTCCTCTTTCACTACCACCATCATTATTTTTCCACTGCCACCTCATATTGTGATGATATCAATTTTTTTTTAAATACAATATTGTTATCATTATATTGTTATTATTATCATTTCTCTTTATCCTCGTCCTCCTTCTACTCCATCACTACAGTCACGGGTCACTACAATCAAAATTATTTCTATAATTATAGTTTATGAAATTAAAAAATTTAAATTTCATTATGATTTCTTATTATTAATTCAAATACAATATGTGAATACAAATGTCATTTCGATTTTTGTATTTTTATTCTAAATTTTTCATTTTTAACAATGAAATGACACTTAAAGAAATTGAAGTCATCAAGACTTGAATTTTATTTTACTAAAGAAAGTTACCGAATAAACAACCGATAAACTAAACTTCCTTGTTTTAGAGCCAAGAAGTTTGAGAATAAACAGGGGATTTGTGAGTCAAATGGCCGATGAATCATTAATCAAAGAACAAGCGCCCATTAGGTTTGAGGATTTGATGAGATGTACAAAAGTATATGGATTAAACAAAGAGCATGACACATGGCTCATACATTTGTAATTGTCTGAATATTGATGTATACAATGTGTCTCTCAGTCAATATTAGTATTATATATTATTTGATTTCTAATAAATCCTACAAATTTTTCAATATCATAAATAATATATATTTAATTGGATTTGAAAAATATATCCTCATTGCTTAAAGTAAAGTTGGTCTGAAAATTACACTTGGCATTGAAGAAACATTATTGTTATTGTTATTAATTTTTTTCATCACAAGGCTTTTAAGGAAGCTTCATTAGGCCTGGAAGTAGAAAGAGGGCTTAGCTTTCTAATTGTAATTAGCTCCACCCAAAATTTAGGAAGGGCTTTCAAGCCCAACCCTCCACCACCCATCATCACAGCCCAAACCCTAACCACCACCACCACGTAAATTTACAACACAACCCCAACACACCACCCCCAACAAAAGCACAAATGAAGGACATCATCGTACTTTAAACAAAATTTACAAACTCCAGAAATCTCTCTCCCCCTTTTCCTTCCTTCTTCCCCAAGAACTTCCCAAAACCCAAAAACCGAAAAAAGACTATTTAAACACAACACCAGTTCAATAAATCTTGGACCTTTCATTCCTCCTTGTTATTCTCTTTAATCAAAGGAACAGAAAGGTTTTTTTTTTATTAATTATTACATAAAAAAACCCCTCGATATCATCAATGGGGGGTTCATCAGAGACCAAGTTTTTGCAAGAGCTAGTGCTATATGCAGCAAGTGCAGCTTTAAGTTGTTTGGTGTTGTTTGCTGGGCTCCGACATCTTGACCCGAATCGTGAAGCATCAAAGAAAGCCCTTGAACATAAGAAGGAAATCGCTAAGCGTTTGGGCCGTCCTCTTATCCAAACAAACCCTTATGAGGTGTGTGTGTCAAAGTTTCTATTTTTTGCAATTGTTTTTGCTAGTTTTGATTTGGGTTTTTGTTTTTGTTTATTGGGTTTTTGGATGATTTTGGGTACAGGTTTAGTTAATGGAATATGGGATTGTTATGCTTCATTGGGTTTTCAGAGGATTTTGTGAATTTTGATTATATGGTCAGATAATGGAATGAAGAGTTTGTTTTAGTTTAATGGGGGGGGGGGGGTTTGAAGAATTTTGTGAATTTCGATTAAATTGTTAGTTAATGGCATATAGGGTTTGTTTTTATTGTGTACTATTGAATTTAGTATTGCTCGAATTGTCATTTATCTGCCAAAAAGTTTGAATTTTGTGTGTTATAGTGGGTTGTGGTTAATATTGCAATGAGGGGTGTGTGGGTGGTTATTGTAGGGAATAGGGATTGGGGATTTGGGTGTTCTATTGAAGACAGGTGTTTTAATCAGTTTTTGGGATGTGGGGGAGTGATTGCTTGTGCTGAATGGGATTCCAGTTTCTTTGGGAGCAATGGAGTTGTTTTGTGTTAGTAGAAAATAAGTTTATTTCTGATTGAGTTGTATATTGAACCTTGGTACTGGTAAGTTGGAATTCAGGCGTCTGGGTTGGTGTTGTGGTACTGTTGTCATCATTTATCAGATAATATTGAAGGAAGAAAAGAACATGAAATTGGTTTTTTTTAATTATTTACCCTGCCCAATTGGATTTGGTGGAAAAAGAATTCGTTCTTTTATCTTGTTCATGGAGGTTTCCTAATTAGGAATCAAGAATATCGGTTAAAAAAAAGGTATTGTATAATTCCTTGCAAAATTTTCTCTTATGTCACCAAAAAAAATCCATCTTTGGATTTTCTGAGATTTTTTCTTTGATTCCAATTAACAAATACTTATTCTAAATAGTTATTCGCCAGGAATAAAATAATTTAACGTACAACCAGACACTTGTAGTATTTCTCGGTGTCTTCAAACCTATTATTTGTTTTCTAGGCAACCTATTTTTGTTGGCTGCTTCCATGCAACAAATACTAAGAGTTTTTAGGTTCAACTGAACACATGAAAATATCTACCATATGGGGTAGATTAGAGTCACTGCTATCTCACGAACTAATTGCACATGATTAGTTTAGAGTTATGTGACTCCAACTTATTTGAGAATGATACTATGTTAATGCTGATGGCTGCTGTGTTCAGTAATAGCCTCTGTGGCATGAACTGACTGGATACAAGTTCTTAGGAAGAAATTAAATTTGAAGACTTGGTTTTGAACTAATATGATGGCTGTAACTGGCAAATATAGATATAAGTTCTTTTTATATGTGATGAAATTTGGATGTGTCAACACTGAAAACTAACTTTTTAATGATGAAACCTTCTGTTTGTGATTGCTTGGTAACACTTGAGTTCATTTTTTAACAATATCCAATATGGCCATGTATTCATATTGAAAATATAATTGATCTGGAACAGGCTCTTCGATTTATGGTCAGTGTAATGTTTTATTAATTTGCTGCAATTGTGTATTTTTTATTTTGAACAGGATGTAATAGCCTGTGATGTTATAAATCCTGATCACATCGATGTGGAATTTGAATCAATTGGAGGATTGGAAGCTATCAAGCAAGCTTTGTACGAACTGGTTATTCTTCCTCTACGGAGACCTGAACTCTTCTCACATGGGAAACTTCTTGGTCCACAAAAGGGGGTTTTGTTATTTGGACCACCCGGCACTGGGAAGACCATGCTTGCAAAAGCTATTGCAAAAGAGTCTGGAGCTGTTTTCATAAATGTGAGGATCTCTAATCTGATGAGCAAGTGGTTTGGTGATGCACAAAAACTTGGTGAGTGTAGATGTGTTTGAATTGCCTCTCTTGCATTTGATGGTTGTTGTCTTGCACCTGGAAAAATTAATGATGATTTAAAATTATGCCTTTCTATTCAAAAACCTGCTGTGGCCCACTGATTATACTGAATGACTTTAGATTCACTCATAATGGAAGCGAGGCAGTACTTTGGGAACTTCCTGTTTATAATTAAGATGGAACATGCCTATCTCATCCTTATGAGGTTAATTGTGCTAAAAATTGGAAAGTAACTAAACATTGTGTCAATATACTTTCTTCTGGTAAAAAACCAGTTGATAAGATCTTTATTGGCAGCATATTTTGGTAGATGCTCGATTAACTTTAAAAAACTGGGCACTCTAGTTTGCTTATTTACTGGATCTTTTATTCTGATGATTGACTTGGTTAAATGATTACAACATTGAAAATTTTGTTATTATGTGGTATTTTGAAATTTCCTGTATCATGACCATATCAAAAGGCAATGAATAGCATGTATTCTGTTAACTGTGAAAGTGTTCATCATTGAATTCTGCAGCTACATCTTTGTGTTTAAATGATCCCTCCTTACATTCTTTTCTGTTATACGAATGAATCCATGCTAGTCTTGTTGGTTTTGTGCTGACTAGAAACAGATTTCAATGTAATGAAGTTTGCGTAGTTGCTTTTTTTGCTCCTTCTATTAAAGTTTTCATAATCTGATTGCTGTTGATTTCCTTCCATGCTGTTTCAGTTGCTGCTGTTTTTAGCCTGGCATATAAACTCCAGCCTGCCATTATATTTATTGACGAGGTTGACAGTTTTCTGGGGCAGCGTCGTACTACAGATCACGAGGCATTGACCAATATGAAGACTGAGTTCATGGCATTATGGGATGGGTTTACTACAGATCGTGAGTTCTTTCATTAGTGTATTCTTTTTGTGCAGTAACTTGCTAGTCTGTGTTTTATGTAAGATTTGTGAAATTGGTATAATTTACTCATGGGCTTGGCCTGGGCTGATTTAGTGTTTATGTTCTTACAGAGAATGCACAAGTGATGGTACTTGCTGCAACCAACCGTCCTTCAGAACTCGATGAAGCAATCCTCCGGCGTCTTCCTCAGGCCTTTGAAATTGGGATGCCTGATCAAAGAGAGAGGGCTGAAATCCTGAAGGTTGTTTTGAAAGGGGAGAAGATTGAAAACAACATTGACTTTAACTACATAGCAAGTTTATGTGACGGCTTCACTGGTTCGGATCTTCTTGAACTTTGCAAGAAAGCAGCTTACTTTCCTATTAGGGACCTTTTGGATGAGGAGAAGAAGGGGAAAAGATCTAGTGTGAGTATATATTTATAATTTTGTTGTTCCACAATTTAACTTCCTTAAGTTATTTTATCGTATATTGAATAATATAGTTCTCAGCTGTGATTTATTGTACTCAAAGCTAATTCTTGAAGGTACTTTTACTGATTTTTAATATTTGCTTAGAAATCCTACAAAAGCTTGACCCTATCATGGCAAAGTTTTGGTTTTTGTTGCCTGCTGTGCACTGTCCAAAATCAATGATTTCCATCGCAAGGGATAGACTATAATATGGTTCCTTGTGAGAACTGGAAGGAATTAAACAAAGTGTTTTTTTGAACTTACAAGGGATAGCTATTGGTGTCAAAAATATGTTCTCGGGGATTTGTATCTATCCATTGTAATAGATTGCTGTTGGATTTTTGAACCTTTACTGAGCTTCTTCATTGTGATTCTATCTCAGGCTCCTAGGCCATTGTCCCAGGCAGACTTGCAGAGAGTTTTTGCCACATCAACTAAGACTAGGGTTGCTGCAAATGAGTACAGTAGGTCAACCTCACAACCACCTGGGTGGCCAAGGCAGTCAGATGATTATCAGGTTCAAGCCACTATTAATGAGCTCTCTAAGCTCGTAGTTTCTCAAATCTTGAATCTTCAGCCACCGGATAACCAGGACCCTTGAAATATTCATCTCTCTTGCTTGGAGCAAGCCTTCTTTTTTAATTAGGCCAAGAGAAATTGTAGTTTAACTTATGTTAATGTTTCCAACGAAATATTCTACGTCAAATATGTTGTTTCTATGCAACTGACTGCAAAAGCTATTGATTTTTAAGCCATTTGACATAATTTTTTATGTCAGAATTGCAGATTGTGTTCTAGCATAATGTTTTCTGTAGCATCTTGCTTTCTTTTTTTGGCTTTAGGAATGTCACACTTTATGTATAGCGATAAACTTGTCAGTCATAGGTTCTGTTCTTTCGTTGTTGCCAATGTTTTTTGGTTGTCTTCTAGAATTTCAATTTTGATCTAGCTGTTCTGGAACATTGTTTTATGCCTCTTGATATCGATTTATCACTCTGTTTAAAGACAGTTTTGCCTTGCAAGTTTCCAGAATCAAACAGTACAACTTTTGTGCAAATATTGCTGCAGTTGTAAGAACAGAATCTGTTAGTCTTGAGTGTTTTTCTTTTAGAACGATCATCCATGTTTCATTTTGTTTATGGTCTCTGGTGTGACTTCAGAATTTCCTATTCATCTTTTAACACAACATAAATGTTCTCAAAGAAAGTTAAGGCTGTTGATGAGGTCCCTTCTGCTCTAAAGCTGCACAAGAAAGCATTTGCTACTGTAAAAGTTCTCGCAGATGGGGTATTATTTGGATACTGTGTCACCGTATAGGTATTCTAGGGCTAGCTTTCGAGATTAAATTCTGGATGATTGAAATCATTTTGGTAGGGCATGAAACTTGCATAGCATTTTGACATGTAGAAGAATATGGCAGTATTGTGGTAATAATTTAATTCCTTTGCAACACTCATAGCCCTCTTGCTTCTTTTTAGGATTTATTTACTTCATATGATTTGCTGAATGGCAACAATCCATCAATGATTAAGTTCGTTAAGGAAAGAGATGGCACTGGTGGTTTGTTTAAAGCAGACAGGTACAGCCTTTAAAGCAAAGGCTCATCTCATTCCTCGAAAGTTGCAAGCTTTTATTCCATTCCAGTACAGTTTTGTCATGAGTGCAGGTTTTGTCCACACGATGTCAAATGATTAAAGTGCTTAGGCTGTAGAGATGCTTTTGCTTGTTGCTTGTACTGGCCTGCAAGAGGCCAAAAACTACAGAAGAAAACAAAGCAATGAAGGTAATGACTACAAGTATTGAACGCAGGAAGACTAGAAGTCTTGTCTGTTGGTTTTCCAGTTCTGATGCTTGCGGCTATAACGTTCAGACATAGACATCGTGGACGAGGACCAACCATGAGGCGATGTTAGTGGAGTACTGACGTGAAGTTCTGTGAAATTGTTGCTTTAATGGGACATTGATTTTAACAAATTCTAGTCCCAAAATCACTTTATTTTGTGGCTGGAAAATGGATGGAGAAGCAAGATATTAGGTCAATAACCTATCAAATTCTTCACCTAAACGCGTGTTCGGTAAGGAGATTGAAAGGAGAACTGAAAATACGATTAAATTAAAAAAAAACATCAATTTATTTATTTATTTTGCATTTTCAATCGTAATTGACTACAATATAAATTACTACCGTAAAAATGTGATATTAATGAGTAAAAACCACATATTTTCATATACTGTTTTTAATGTTTTTTGTTAACCCAGAAAATGGATGGAGAAACAAGATATTAGGTTAATAACCTATCAAATTCTTCATCTAAATGTGTGTTCGGTAAGGAGATTGAAAGTAGAACTGAAAATACGATTAATTAAAAAAAGAAAACATCAAATTAATTTTTTTACATTTTCAATCGTAATTGACTACATATAAAATTAAATCCTACCGTGAAAATGTGACAGTAATGAGTAAAAACCAAATATTTTCATATACTGTTTTTAATGTTTTTGTCAACCCAAAAACCGAATGTTTTCAACCATTTTAAATAAGTATGGACTAGTTCTAAACTCGAAAATTCTTAGAATTTCATATTTTTGAGATCAGAAAAACAGGTTTAAACCCCACGGTGATCACAAGCAGGAGTAGAAAATGGGATTTGAACATGAGACCATTAGTTGGAAATACAAGATTTCTATCACCGAACTACTCCTTGTGATTCGACGTTGCTCTTAATTAACCATTGTTAAAAGATGCTAAACCCTCTCTCGGGTTTATTTGTTACATTACATGCCTGAATTATCGAGATGCTATAGAGGCAGTTCATAACTAATGTTCGTGTACTAGGTTGCAAGGCTTCTTCTGGCATATTCTCAGGCACAAGAAGAAAAAGAAAAAAACATTGCTTGAGTTACAGATTGTTGTGTTGCATGCAAGCCTAGAAAAATAGAGTTTACTGGTTCAAAGCTTAATTAGCAGCTAAATTTGAAGTTTCTCAAGGTGGGCTTTTTATTCCGAGAAAAAGATATGATTATATTCTATCTGGGTGTGAATCATAAGGCAGCTGGTTGGCAAGTGGCAGGAATCAGGAATTAATTAGTCAATTAACTAATTTATTGCAACTATCTGAACCAGTTTGGTCTGACAACCCTTAACTTCTAATGAAATAACTAATTTTTGTTTCATGGTAAGAAAATTTCAAAGAAATTAGTTAGACTGCCATGTTGTCTCTCTCTCTTCTTGTCTGTAGCCATACTCGGTCCATATGGTTGCTCTGCCTTTTAATGGCATACATATTAATGCCCGTCTATTTCTGCAAAATTGTGGGTCATAATTATAATTATTATATTATTATTATTTCTACTCCATGCATTCGTATTTTACATTAAAAAGAAAACTAATTCTTTTTTAAAAGAAAATGGCAAAATTTAATGTTTTCAATAAGTGTTATTTTAAAATTCGAGCTTGAAATATTGATAAAAAATTCATCCGTGATTTATTAATTAGTACATAGAATTTTACTCCATGGAATAAATAAAGAATGGCAGAGTCAGAAGGTTTATTTCAGGAAAAAACAATAAAACAAAAGCCTTCCTTTTTAGAGTATTCAAAAGAGAAAGGAAAGAATACTCAAAATCAAATAATTGAATTTTCAAGGAATGGATCAAGCAATGGGAATAAAGTATAAAACTAATATAACTGAATTTCTAGTCGTCCAAATCAAAGCTTTATCTGAAGTCAAGACAATTGAATAAGACTGAAACACATGTAAAATTATTGTTTAACATTAATTTTTACAAAGCTCTTCATAGATCATAATGGACCCTTTAGTCATACATGAACAGCCAGAGGCAATAACCCCACCTTCCTCCGTCCTGATCTATTGTCTTTGACCCATTAAATTTGCCGGCTCAAGACGACTAACTCCATACTACATAAGCTGCACATCTCCCATCCCCACCATTAAAATCATCATCCCTCAATTACTTTCCATACTTAGCCATTATTTCTACTCTGCTTCAATCTCCTTTTTTCTTCTTAAATTTCTAGCATTCTTTGAAGTTTATGATGAATCTTAGTAGCCCAATTCTTGTTTTTTTCTTTACAATCCTTGTGTTTTTAGTTCTTAAGAAGTTGTTAAAAACATCTTTTTTGCATATTCTTGTTAGAAGCTGGAGATGGATTGGAGACAAGTTTTATGTGTACCAAATCTTCAAGGTTCCACAATTCAATGATCTTTTTCAAGAAAACCAATTGTACCACAAGGTTTCAACTTATTTAACCTCGCTGTCTGCCATTGAAGATTCTGATTTCACCAACCTGTTTTCGGGTTCGAAAGCGAACGATATCGTCCTCCATCTCGACCAGAATCAAGTGATTCAAGATAGTTTTCTTGGGGCTAGAGTGCATTGGAGCAATGAGAAGTATAGTGAAGGAAATGGTAAGAGAACGTTGGTGTTGAAGTTGAGAAAGAAAGACAAGAGAAGGGTTCTACGTCCCTACTTGCAGCATATTCTTTCGGTTGCTGATCAGATTGAGCAGAAGAACAAAGAGATCAAATTGTTTATGAATCTTGAGAAGAACCCTTATGAAAATGGAAGGTGGAGATCAGTTCCTTTCACACATCCAGCTACCATGGATACAATGGTTATGGATGGAGACTTGAAGAACAAGGTAAAAGCTGATCTTGAATTGTTCTTGAAGTCTAAGCAGTATTATCACAGATTAGGCCATGTCTGGAAAAGGAGTTATCTTCTTTACGGCGCGTCCGGAACAGGCAAGTCCACTTTCATTGCAGCCATGGCTAGATTCCTGAATTTTGATGTCTATGACATTGACATCTCCAAGGTTTCTGATGATTCTGATCTGAAAATGCTTCTTCTGCAAACCACAAGTCAGTCCATGATTGTAATCGAGGATCTTGACAGGTTCTTGACTGAGAAATCAAGGGATGTGAGCTTGTCTGGGGTCTTGAATTTCATGGATGGAATTGTTTCATGTTGCGGCGAGGAGCGAGTGATGGTGTTCACGATGAACTGTAAGGATCAAATTGATCAAGCAGTGCTAAGGCCTGGCAGGGTTGATGTTCATATTCAGTTCCCACTATGTGATTTCCCAGCATTTAAGAGTTTAGCCAGTAGTTACTTAGGAGTCAAGGAACACAAGCTTTTCTCTCAAGTCGAAGAAATTTTACAAGGTGGAGGATCAAGTTTAAGTCCAGCTGAGATTGGTGAGATCATGATGTCAAACCGAAATTCGCCAACCCGGGCTTTGAAAACTGTCATTACAGCTCTGCAAATACAGACCATCAATGGCGATGCAAGAAGGGTTAGCAAGGTTGCATCGAGAATAAGTGAGAGTAGATCAGTCAGGTCCAGCAGGGATGAGACAGGCGAAACTGGTGGTGGGTTTTGCCAAGAAAGTGGTGTTCAAACAGTGAGGGAATTCAAGAAATTGTATGGATTGTTGAGGATGGGAAGTAGAAGAAAGGAATCAGTGGATTTAAGTTCTTCAGCAGACAAGGAAGGATCACTTCAAGAAACCTAAGCCTGATTAAATTTAGAAATGTAGATCATAAAATTAAATATTTTCTTTGTTTTCTTTTTTCTTTTTCAAAGTAGAAAGACACCTCCCGTGGTTGAAAAGTTTTTTTTTTTTTTTTTCTTTAATTGCAGTCAAAAATCGACTCTGCTTAAAGGTTAATGTTAATGACTATCCAAATTAGTTATTGACAATTTAGCAATGGGTTTTAATGCATACAAAGACATCGTATAATTTGAATTTTTTTATTAAGATTTTAAATTTTTTTTTATCTAATTTAAGAGTTTTATTTTTATGTTATTGTTCTTTCGTACTCTATTCAATGATAGTTTGCCACGTAAGCACACATGACAAACTCTAGCCAATGATAGTTTGTCACGTCATAAATTTAATCATCTAATTTGAACTTATCATGACATGTGATAAGTTATCATTGACTAGAACTTATCACATATGCTTACGTGATGTATAAGAGATTTAAAATAATAATAATATAATAAAACTCTTAAATTAGATAGAAAAAAACTTAAAATCTCAATTTAAAAAATTTAAATTATACGAAAGTTTGATTTATGGAAAAAAAAAAAAAAACCCATTTAACAATATAGCAAAGACATTTTGAGCGGTCAAAAACAGGAGCTGATGAAAAAGTCTTCTATTACTTTATCAAAGTCTAGCCCTCTTAGCTCATCCTTAGAATTTGATGGCACCAGACTGCCTACAACCTCTGCTAACATTCAGAATGGCCAACTGTCTTTAATTAAAGAAATTCTATGCTTTATTTTGGTCAATGCCTTGTCCATTGTTTAGTATCGTTAGCCACATGAGTTTGATGGTAAAGATACTGCCTTTCCAAGTTGCCATTTAGGCATTTGCTTGTCCCTGCCCATTTTGCTCCCTTTGGATACAAGTAAATCCTGTTTTCTGCTTTAGGTAGTTGCTCTTTGGCTTTTCCCAATTTCCTATTATATAATATAAGAGATGCAAATAAGGTTACAAAGTATACAAAAGACACATAAATTAGGTACAACATAGGGCATCCTTTTGGCCTTCTGCTTTTCTTCCAAAAAAAGTCCTCATTCTACTCTTTGGTTCTTTTTTTAATTGGTTTGATTTTTGATTAACCTAATCTATAAAAACAAAAACTGAACTTGAACTGAATTATTATTGGGTTTAAACCAATTTTTTTTTCACACTTTTGAAAAATATAAGTAAATAAAAAACATCATCAATTCATTGTATATTTATAATAATATTGATGTATTGATTTTTTTTTATTTGCATTATTTAAAACTTCAAAAAAAAAAATCAATAAAAAAATTGGTTTTTGATTTAAATAGACTTAAAATTTCCAAAAAAAAAACCAAATAAAAAAATTCAATTCATTTTTATTTTTTACTTTTATTTTGAGTTAAAAGCTGAACTGAAATTAATATTTTGATTTGATTTGGTTCAATTTTTTAGTTTAAATCGAATAGTGCTTACCCTACTTCCAAGCAGGTACGTCTAAATAATTGCAAAGCATAATTATAAATAATTTTAAATTCAAACCTAAAAGAATGAGATAAAAATTGAAAGATGACAAAGTGTCACTCTTTATTACATAGTTCAAAACCTATTAAACTTATATCGAATTCACTTTTATATATATATATATATATAAAGAGGAAAAGTGCTAGTGGTTGTATTTCTTGAATCAATTTCATAAATAAGACATGATTAGGAGTATCATCCAAGAACAACACCAACCCAATTTATTGCTTTAAATCAAAGTTTGCCAATAAATTCAGATACATTTTACTTCCTCCTCTAAAGTGATATGATCTCTTTTATTATTGCATGATTCATTGAGTTCTAAGCCACCCATACACAGTAATCACTCTCCATTCTTTTAAATATTTTCCATTTTTATTTTAGCATAATTTGATTTCATGTCCCTTTGAATAAAGTATTGTGTCTAGTGACTTTGTCCAAAAATATATACATATATAATTTTGTAGACTTGTTAAGCCCAATGGACCTCTTAATTTGATTACTTTTATATTGAGGTAGAAACAATTGGGTTTGTGAGGCCCAATAGTTTCTTCATACCTGAGCAAGAGAGGGAATAAACATCAATCAAGCAAAACATGCTGGGGTTTAGCAAAAACCTCTCACAAAATTTCTACAAGCATCTGGTGTGCAATAAGAGGTGTTTATCAAGCTCTGTTTTCTCATTCTCAACATCAACAAATCTTGCAAAACGAGTGGTGGGCACTCACAATGGCAAGTTTCACTGTGATGAAGCTTTAGCTTGCTTCATCATTCGCTTAACAGACAAGTTCTCCAATGCTCGTATAATCCGTTCAAGAGATCCCCAGGTTCTTCTTTTCCCTCATCTCTGTTGTAACTTTAATGGGGTTTTTGTTTCTTTGAGTTTGTTGAGGTTAAAGTTTTGAACTTTTCTTTTATTGGTTTGATGGGGTTGTTTCTTGAAGTTTTTTAAGCTTAAAGGTTTGAAATTTTTGTTTCATTAGTTTAATGCCTTTGTTTGTTGTTGGTTAATTTCAATTTGGTGAGGATTTTTGTGGTTTATTGAAGGTTTTGGAGGCACTTGATGCTGTGGTTGATGTTGGAGGGGTATATGATCCAAGTAGAGATCGTTATGATCATCACCAGAAGGGATTTTGTGAAGTTTTTGGCCATGGCTTCACTACCAAACTTAGTAGTGCTGGCCTTGTTTACAAGGTATCCTGTTTTAAACTTCCAAACTTCTTGCATCGTATGTTTACATTTGGATCTTTACATTACATACTTGTTATTTGCCAAGAACCCTTCCTGTTAAATGTCTTTAATGATAAAAGGGGTTATGTTATTTTTCTTCTCTCCCTCTCCAGCATTATGGGGCAGAGATAATAGCAAAGGAGCTTCAGCTAAATGAAGGGCATCAAGATGTGCATAAGTTATTTCTAGCAGTGTATAAGAACTTTGTGGAGGTAACGTGTTATATGTGCTGTCAATAATATTTTTTGTACGAAGCTACTGAATGATTAGAACTGTTGTTTTTCTTTGTTGTTCTTTATCTTCTAAATTTTTGTTCTTTATGTATTTCTTGTGAGAACATCATTCATATTATTAGCCTAAATGCTTAATAAAGCATCCTATTTCAAGCCTGATCGTCTGGCTTTATCTTTGAGTTAACTGTAGATATATTCAAGAAGTCCTTCTACTCTGCTGTATAATCTTTGTGCTTGCATATCTCCAAGATCAACCGAAACGTTATGAATTGTAACAGGCAATTGATGCTGCTGATAATGGAATTAATCAATATGATATAGATCAACCTCCTCGATATGTTAATAATACAAGCTTGTCACATAGAGTGGGAAGGTTAAACCTGGAGTGGTGTGATCCTAATCAATCGTCGGAGAGAGAGGATGAAGCCTTTCAACATGCATTGGAACTTGCTGGAACTGAATTTTTGGAGGTAGGTATTTTAGGGTTCTCCATGTTTACACCAGACATCGTGTCAAAATTATGTCAATGATATGCAAGTTGACTGGAAGGTTCTTCCTAGAGCACACTTGATGATCTGAATCAATGAATATATTGAATGAATGCATCGAGCAATCATGTTTTGAAAATTTCATAAAATGTTGATGTTACAGAATATTCATTTTCATGCAAAATCATGGTTACCAGCTCGAGCAATTGTCATGGAGTGCCTTGCATCGAGAGAAGATATTGACCACAGTGGAGAAATCATGGTGCTGACAAGATCATGCCCTGTAAGTGGGCAGTTATATTGTTTTGATGGCCAAGTTCTTTATTTTTGGGATTTGTACATGACTCTTATCAGTTTAATTATTTAGTGTTGTATGAAAAAACATGGATGAGCAGATTCGTAAAGTATTTGGCAATGGTATGCAAAAACATCTTTCATAAGCAGATTCTTAAAACTAGTTCCCTATATGTCATGGTTTATTTTCCTTGGAACAGAAGAATGAGATTTTGACACTGACCATTATTTATTTTAATATCTAGCTAGCAAGCATTTCACAAATAATAAGTTGAATATAGATTGTTCAATACATCGTGTCATTGTTAGAGCTGAAATTGTATTGGATCTTTTTTACAGTGGAAGCTCCACATATTTGAGCTCGAAGAAGAGATGAAGATCAATCCTTCCATCAAATATGTTATTTACCAGGTACTAATAGTAGTTTTTTGTCATTTTCCTGCTATCACATGTGGATGAGGACACTAATTAATCAGGTACCAAATGCGGTATCACAAAAGCCCATATATTCTCAAGCATCTCAAACTGATATTCTGATATAGATTCACTAGACGTTTAATAAGAGGAGCTGATATTTGTTGTCTGTGTGGTATGTGTCATGCATGATCTGAGTTTGGAAGACTCGTATTTTTGCTATTTGCAGGATGATAGGAGTGAAAATTGGCGAATACAGGCAGTGGCATTGTCACCTGATAAGTTCGAGAGCCGGAAACCTCTACCATTACCTTGGAGAGGTTTGGAAGATGATGAGCTCTCGGAGGCAGCAGGGATTCCTGGCTGTGTGTTTGTTCACATGAGTGGATTTATAGGCGGAAATCGAAGTTATGAAGGTGTTCTTGCAATGGCTAGAGCTTCTTTAAAGGCATAACCAAATAGGAGTTTTATCAGGGCAGATCCTATGTTCACATTCTTGAATCGTTAAATGCTGCAGTCCTCTGCGCCTCTGATTAGTGTTATTGAGAAGTGAGTATGTTGGACCTGCACAAAGCCAAATCTGGTTTCATGGACAATTGTTGGGACCATAGGTGGTGCAGTTTATCATGCATCATCTTGTTTCTTAAATCAGCATATACAGAAAATGAAAATGCCACGCCTCTCCTTTATTTTGAAGAGGTATGTTCTACAGGGCGTGTTAATTTATAAATTTGAACACACATACTTATGTTTTCCGGAGTAGTTTAGAGGAAAGTCGTTCTGTACATCAATGCCCATCGCTCTTTACTATGGATATACTGCTAGATCATTTTTAGTTCCATCATTTCATATACATTGAAGTTTCATGCCAAATCTTCGTGAGAGGCATAAGGCATATGCCTCTCAATGCGATTAAACTCAGTTTCAATACATAGATCTCAATCTGTGGACAAAGTGGAGTCAGTCATGATGCAAGCACACTACAATCTCTAGTGAAGACAAAACTTGAGTTTCTCTGGAAGCATCATCTTTAATATTGATGATGCTTCACTCTTCCCACTCTGTAGGCAAACCCTCTTTGAACCATGTGTAGAGGCCCCCTTCTAAGTGGAAGACGTTCTTGTAACCATTTAGGACTAGTAGGTAGGCTGCTATCAGTGATCTGCAGGAAGCAGCAAGTGTAAGCTTTCATATCTTTCCAGGGCAGTGAACAAGTACATGGATAAATTTCTTAACAGGGAGATTTGAAACATAGAGAATAGTAACAGTAGAATCAGAGAAGTTGACAGACCTTGACTGTTGACCTTCAGGAAGATTTTGGGATGGCTTCATTGTACCTCCGGCTGTGCAGGCCACTATTATCTTTGCATTTCTATCGATCTTTGATTCCACAGCTGCAAACATATTCTTACTCATTAGTTTTCCCTTGGGCACATAAATTGAGAATTACAACAATTTATAAGCATTGTTACATGTTACATACCCTGCACAAACTCAGGATTTTCTTCTGTCCCAGCAAAGATGCCAAAAAATGCAAATGCAGCGCGCCTTGCAATGTCCCATGCTGTCCATTCCTTTATAAGCCTATATATCTGTACATTGATAGCACCTGGTGGATGAGCCTGCGATCAAAACACGAAAAGTAAGTGAGAGATAGTTCAGCCTCAAATTATGGAGTTTCCTCTTTTGAGCTCTGTTCATAAGCTGTAAGTTATGATTGATGATTTAATGTTGCTTATTCAGACATAATGTCAAGATCCCTAACCTCTTTGAATTCTGCTTCTGGTCTCACATCAAGAATCACAAAGTTGTTTTCTTTCTGAAGTCGCAGAGCTTCCTTCACATCCACACTCCTGACCTGGAAATAACAAATGTTAGTTCTTAGTTCTGTGTGTGTGTGTGTGTGTGTGTGTGTCTAAGAGAGTCAGTGGGAGGGAAGAAGGGGACCTTTTTCTGTTGAAGAAATGCCCTCTTAGTCTTCCAATCTTCTTCAGCTAATCCCTCCATGTAAGGATAAGAAAAAGAACTCAATCAGAGTCAAGATTGAGGATAAACATAGCAAAGACTCCATGACCGGTTGAGAACAAAAATCAGTAGGAGCTCAGTGATCTTGTTTCTGTTCAAAAGCCATGGGAAATCTTGTTCATAAAATCTAGCTTAGAGCAAAGTACCTGGTGATTTCGCAGGTTTTGTTGCTGCATTGAAGACCTTTAGGCCTCTTGGAACTGTGCATGAGGTTAACCTGCCCCTTAAAGATCCACTTGATCTGATAGTGAACGTAGGTAAGCTAAGTTCTTGGGTAGTCTTCGAAGAGAAAATTAGTGGTGATGATTGATAATTAGGATACAAAGAAGATGAAGATGAGTGTGAGCTGATCGAAGGAAGTGCAGCCATTTGAGAAGATATTTTCAAGAAATTAGTTCCTTGTTCAACAGTGGATAATCACTTGAACTGCTCTCTGGTCCTTGATTTTGCTACATTTGGAAGGTCATTGAATGCTACATTAAGAGCTGTGTGGGCCATAGGCATTTTGGATTTTTATGATATTATCTGTCCAAAAAATCTGGATATGTGGTTCATGTTTTGTTGCAGATGCAGAGTGATGCTATATCTCGCTTTTTAAAATTCTTATCGCAAAAACTGATAAATCAACAAATCGATGCCTTTTTTAAATGTTTATATATATATATATATATATATATATATATATATATATTTATTTATTTATTTAGTTTTTGACAATGTAATATCAAATATATTATAAAAAAATCCAAAAAGTGTTTTATTAATTCATTAAAAAGCACTTAAATTGTAATACAAAACGATTATAAAAAAAATGATCTTATTATTTATTTATACTATTTAAAATATTATTTATATACTCACGTATCACTATTTTGTCACTATTCATGTCAATTTTTTTAGCATTTTGATCCTTAATTTTTCTATACTTATTTTTTTTAATTTCAAACTTTAATTGTATTGTGATTTGATCTCATTTTATTTTAGTGTTTTATTTTAATTATTTAAAATTTATTATTTTATTCATGCCTTTTTAAAATGTTTATGTATATTTAGTTTTTGACAATGTAATTTCAAATCTATTTAAAAAAAATCCAAAAATTGTTATATTAATTCATTAAAAAGTGCTTAAATTGTAATACAAAATGATATTGAACTTAAAAAAAAAAAAAAAAAAACTCGAAGACTTTCGAAAAAAGTGAGTTATTATCAAAACGTGGCTACTACTATATTTTTTAAGGTTGCTAGTTGCTATTCATTTTTTTTTTTTTAAATGGGAATTTTGGTATTGGTAATCAGCATTTTTTTTATATATGTTTTTTTATTATTTATATAGTAAAATTTATTTAAAATATAAGAATGAAACGATCATTGAAGCTCTTTGAGACTGCACTTCGAGATTTTAAGGCCCAACTAGGAGAAGACCCAATTGTTCATCGGCATCTCTCATCCCTAAAAACCAAAACATGGAGAGTTAGGCTTGGTGGTAAATGAGGTTTGTTTGATCCTTTTTTTCTTTCTTTTTTAAGTTTGAATTTTAGTGTTTGTTTGTTTTGCAGAAAATATTTTTCGGTAAATATTTTCCCCTACTTCCTCATGTGAAACGAGCATTGAACAATAAATCAATGAAGTCCTAAATAGAGCCAATTTGGAGGAAAATATTTTAATCTCGTGAAGGAGGGAAAAATATTTTTCTTAAACTACCAACCAACAATATTTAGTAATACCATAACTTAACTATTATAATTACTGCTAGCATCACCACCTCATCAACGTCCACCATCACCACCGCCGCCACCATTGATATCATTACGACTCTTATTTTATTATCAATTTAATTGTTATTTTATAATCTTTTTACCGTAACCTACTAATATTATTATCACTATCATAGTAATAACTACCACTTACACCACTCACTATTGCCACTTAGTTATCGATATAATCATTATTTAATCACTATTTTTACTATATCACCAACACTCAAACACTAAAATTATTCCAACAACATTTATAACAACTATTAAGTCGCCACCATCACCATTTCTATTATCACCACCTTGTTATTAAAGTAAAAACAATTACAATTATCATTTTATTACTATTATCATCATTATCGCTATCATACAATCATCATCATACGACCACCATCATTAACACCGATACTATTACAACTATTTTTATAAACACAATCGTCATAACCATCATAATTACCATCACTATTTTATGATTAATATTATAACTTTTCTTATTTTATTATCGTTATTCAAAAATTATGAATAAACAATATTTTTTTAATACATCCAAACAATGAAAAATAACTCATTTTCTATGAGAATATTTTTCATCAAAAACCTTGAAAAAAATATTTTCCGCAAAACAAACATACCCTTAAAGTCAACATTTAATAATTCATTATATTGAATGCCTCTTTAAAATCGTTTAGAATAAACACTTAATCTTGACTAATAAGCAAACTAGTCCAAAAATATGAGTTATTGTCCACAAGAATATTTAAAAAACAAAGGGATAAATTGATGGATGGTTATGATTTTGGTTGTTGATGGATTTTTTGCTTTTGGTTGTTGTTGTTACGTAGAAACAAAGGGAATGTCATTGCCATGTCTGAGCATGACCCAAAAAAAGGAAAAAAAAAAACTTCATAGTTTATGATAAGATTATCAAGAACAACCGGCATAGCTCGAGAATGATTCATTACAATATTCTTGTCAAGATTCTTGTCTACTCTCTGTTTAGATCTAGCAGCAAAGTTTGCCCATGACTACGTGCCAGCAACTTACTATTTCAAGCAAACGTAGGATGCGTGCTATGTTCCTTTTCGTGCCCTAGCTCTCAACTTCGACTTGACCTATTTTTTTTTGTTTATTTAATATTTATTATTAATGAGTTATTTTTTAATTAATTTTTATGTCAACCAATCGATATTAAATTTATTATTTTTCGAATTAATTCAATATCAAAATATGTATATATTTTTTTATCGATCATCAAACTGTTTTTTAGTTCAAACCAACTCAAATTTAATACCATCAAAGTATAAATATGACCAATTTATCTGTAAATGATAGAAATTAAATTTTGAACTGGATCAAACCTAAACAACACTCCTACTATTAGAATACATCCTCCACCTCACGTAATTATTTAAATTCAAACCCTTTTCAAAGAGGTTGGTTTATTTATCGCACTGGTCCAATATAAATGCTGAACCCTTCATGCAAGCAAAAGAATTTTCATGGTAAATTATAAATTAGTCTCTTTGGTTTTCATTAACGAATTAATTAGTCTCTTTTGTTTTAAAAACTAATTACCTAGTTTTTATATTTTTAAATTTTCTTGTTAATTAATCCTTTTCATTTCTTTCGGTTTATTTTGTTTTTTTAAAAAAAAAGTTAAAAAAAAAGAGAGGAAGGATTGATTTTAAAAAAAAACTTTTTTTCAAATCAAATAATATTAAATTAAATATAATTAACACTAATCAAATACTCAAATATTTAGTTTTTAAATTAAAAAATTAATTAATTCGTTTCTCACAAATAGAGGGAATAATTTATAATTTACTCAAGAATTTCCCATCTAAAGGTGAGAGATCTACATCAAACTAATCAATGCATGATACTTTATGAAAACATTTATCATATAGTTTCAAAAACAGAATTCCATTTATCGAAGTGAATTCCTGCATCATATGACCAATTTTACCAAAAAAAGAAAAAAAAATGCCTTCTAGTTCTATCCATTTCAAGAGATTTCATAGAAAAATTACTTAACACACCCATGCAAATTTAAGACCAATAGAATTTTAGCAAATGTATTTGTTCAATTTGTAAGATTTATTTAATAAATGAGACCAAAATTAAGGAACAGAATAAATATTCCTTGCGAAAAGATGGGATAAAATTTAGAGTGGAATAGGATTAAAAGTACTATTTTTATTATGTGTAGATAACATTATATGTCATTTGAGATAATTAATACCTTATATAGTAAGTGAGTTTGTTTTTCGTATCATGTTGAATTCGAATTTAAATTAAGATAAATAATTTCTTCTTGATGCACCAATTTAAAAATACGCAATGTATCTAAAACCCAATTAAAAAAAAAAAATTCATGTTGGATGTATGATTAACTTATATGTACATCCATTTTGTTTATAAAAAAATTCATAAACTATAATAATTTTTTTGATGACTAAATTATAAATTAATTCCTCTAGTTTTAAGAAAAAAATTAATTAATCCTTTTTATTATAAAACTTATTATTTAATTTTTTAATCAGTTTTGACTATATTTAATTTAATATTATTTTTATTTCACAACATCTTTTATTTTCTCAACAATCTTTCCATATTTTTTTCTCTTTTTTAAAATAAAAAATAAAATAAATTACAAATAGATTTCAAAATATAAGAATTAAATAATTAGTTTTTAAATTAAAAAAAATTAATTAATTTGTTTCTTGAAACGGGAGGAACTCGATTTATACTTTACTTTTTTTGACTTATCATAAAATTACAATGACAAAAAAAAAAAAAGATATTACAAAAATCCTCAATTATATTCATATTGCCCTTGATAAATTTGAAAGATCCAAAGAATACGATTTATTTCAATAAAAAATACAATGTTTCTTATATTTTTTTATCTACGTCCATTTTCTTTTTCAAACGAAAAATGAAAACCATATCACGAACCTATTTATGGCCATACAAGTGCATGATCAAAATGATCAATGCCCCCACATGACATCGACGGTGAAGAAAAACGGGAAGTAGGGTCCACAAAACGTTGAGAGAAGCACATGATCCAAGAGGTGCCATATGGGTCTCCAGCACGAGCTATCGTCGGCAGAACCACCGACAGTACAGACCGGATTTAAATAAATCAAATCGTCATGATTTCGACACGTGTCTTACTTCCAAACTAAACTATCACGATTACTGTGGGAGAACCGCGTTTTTTTCTCCGGGGCCCTATAATAACAATCTGTAATAACCAATCGACCAATCGACCAATCGAAGCACGATTGCTTCGCATGCTTGTACCTTGTCAAAATCTTTTTTATTGTTTATTTATTTTTTCTAACAATAAGTATATTTTTGGAATAGTTTTTGTATTCATATATTTAATTTCTATTAGATTAGATCTTAACATCCACATTTAGAACGATCTATGTTTTTTTTTTTTGAAGAATTCAATCTTCAAATATATGAAGAATATACTTAATTATTAACCAAATCAAGTTTTTAAAAATCAATTCTAGTATATCATCATTTTTTTAAATTATATTGATTTTGAGTGTTATTATTATTATTATTTTATAACGCGGGTGTCCGAGCTAGTTTATGTGTACCTCAATTAATCTCGCGGGCCCGAAGTTAACGATCATGTAATCCTCCAATGGTCATCAAGAGGAACATTCGGGACTCAAACCTTTTTATACTAAGTCCTTAATGCCGCGCCACCCCTTGGTGGTTATTTTTTATTTTATTTTTTGGGTGCAAATTCACTATGTTTCTCGAGTAATATTATCTCGTGCCTTTTAATAAAGCTGTATTTTGAATGTAATTTCTTAATTTATATTTGAAAATAGATAATCTACGTAGTCTTTAGAGTAATTTTGAATTTTTTTCACAAAATCACATTACACATCTTATATGTCTATCTTTGTCTTTCTTTTCTCTTGATACTACAAAACAAAATGAAAAGAGATAAACTATAAAAAAGAGCTAACAATACTACCATATTTTAGAGTACCAAAATGCTATGTTGATACTTGTACTACAGGTCAAGGAAGAAAGAAAGAAGACTAAACTCTAAGTAAAAAGAATGATGGATCGATGGAGACATTTCACAATATTGAAAAGTACATTGTCGTTTGAGATAATAATATTAATGAGTCCTTAATTGAGTAAATTATAAATCAATCATTTTATTTTCGAAAAACCAATTAATTAGTCTTTTTTTAAATAATTGTTCAATTTCTTGACAGTGAAGATTAATTTAATATTATTTTATTTAATAAAATTTCATTTTTTATCAACTATTTTATGTTTTTTATTTGTTAAAATAAAAATTCAAAATAATTTGAACAACACTGAAAATATTAAGTTATAAAGAAATTTAAAAACATAAAGACTAAATAATTAATTTTTGAAATGAAAAAATTAATTAATTAATTTTAAAAAGCTAAAAAAAGACTAATTTATAATTTATTCGTCTGTAATTTAGCAAAGAAAATAGGTATGTTGATTCCTTTTTCGAATCACCTAACTAAAATAATTTTATTATCAAAAATATTTTTTATTTGACAATGATATTTTAAAATTAGTTTCTATATTCACTGAGATTAAGGTTTTTTTTTTCTAAACAATCTCAAAGGCGTACTATATGGGCCTAATGTATTTTTCTAGTGTTAATTTCGAGATTTGAATCTAAAAAATTAAGAAAATAAGCATACTTTCTTAACCACAAGATTTGCCTTTGAAATCAAGAAAAAAAAAAAAAAGCATTCTTTACCACCATACCCAATCTTTTAAATTAACACCAGAAATACCTATCATGTTATCGCATGCTCGAAAAAAAAAAAACCCTATATTTATGCTATTAAAAAAACATTAAAAAATATATAAACATATAGAAAAAATGTCTAGATTATTCATGCATTCCACTAGCATGCCTTGATTTGTAAGATCCATTTTGAAAAATAATATGAAGATAATAATTAGTTTTACTTAAAACGGTATAAAAAATCAAATACGATAATCTATTAAAAAGAGAGAGAGTAGTATTTAATGCAGACTACCACTAGATAGATTATTAATGTTAATTTAATTTTGTGACAACAAAAGTCAAACGTACAACAAAAGATAAAAGCAAAAGTCAAAAAATGACGAGCAACAGCTAACTACTGAAAAATGATTATAGCATAGCATGCAGAAGATAACAGCCCACTCTTCTTCAACCTTTACCACTATATATATCTCTCTTTCACACAAACTTCGAAAGGAAGAGAATCTCAAACGTTCTGTGTAGAGATTGTTATGCCTAACAACCCCACATTATACATTACGTAATCTTTTTGGGGCTTCTTTCTCTCAAAAACAGAGGAGAAACTGAGTGAAAGCAGAAAAAATGGAAGCTTTTTACTATTTGGTTTTTGGGGCATTAAGTGCTGTAGTGTTAGGAGTCGAGCTCAGCAAGACAACAAAAGATCGAATCAATACATCTCCTGCCTTCAATTCTTTCAAGAACAATTACCTTTTTGTTTACTCTCTTATGATGGGTAAGTGTGTGCCTTTTCTGTTTTTTTCGTTAAAAATCTGTAATTTTTTTAGATCTATTATGTGTTTACATGGATCTGATGTGATTTACGTGTTTTTGATTGGTTTTGGAGGTGAGTTTGTTAGCATTTTTGTGGGATTGGTTTTCTTGGTCGTGAAAGTACAAAATTTTACGAGGAAAATGAGAGGTGTAAGGAATGTGGGATCTGGTTGTGTTTTTTACAGGGTAGGGACATGGGATCTGGGTTTAGATTGGAAATAAATAAGTGGGTCTGAAATGGGTTTTTGTTTTTCATTTTGTTTGATTTTTCTACTACTTAGTGGAGGGTTAGTATTTAGTGCTGTAAAAGTTTGAACTTTCTTTGTGTTTTGTACAGAAAGGCAAGTGTGTGGCTTGTAAACGGATAATGGAGATTGGATCTGGTTTTTTAAACATGTCAAATTGATGCCTTCATTTGACATTTCGTTTCATTTTGATTAGATACATGTATGATCTTGCTTATTTTATTGAATTTCAGCTAAGCAGCTTGTTAAGGCTAGCTAGATTTCAGACTAGAATTTGTTGATTCAGTTGTTTCAGTTTTTTTGTTCCTGATAAATTACCGTTTGTGGTGTGACAGCTGGTGATTGGTTGCAAGGTCCATATGTTTACTTCCTTTACACTACATATGGGTTTGGGAAAGGCGAGATTGGGCAGCTTTTTATTGCTGGTTTTGGGTCCTCCATGCTGTTTGGGACTATTGTTGGATCTTTGGCTGATAAACAGTGAGTGTTCCCTCTGAGTTTTGTTGTTCTTTTCTGATAATTTTTTCTTTCCTTTACTGAGTGTGGTCTGCCTGGTTTTATGTCAGGGGTCGAAGGAGGGCTTGTGTGACTTATTGCATTACCTATATACTGAGCTGCATTACCAAGCATTCTCCACAGTACAGAGTTTTAATGATAGGCCGTATCTTGGGAGGTATCGCCACTTCTCTCTTATTCTCATCATTTGAGTCATGGCTGGTCGCAGAACACAACAAGGTAACAGATTAAATTTCTCCTGTGGTGTTATTAGTCATTAATGTCTGTAATTAGGCTTAGAAGAACAAATAATTAAATGACACTTGGTGGATCAGAGAACCTCCTAAACATTAAGTGGTTCAAGATTTCCAATCCATGTTTCTGCTATGACAACTTCTCACTGCTAGTCTTTGCTAAAACCAATTCGATCTAATCAGTAACTGATGAGTAATGACCATTAAATGTAACCTCATCTTAATTCTTCCTATTCTCGCGTAATCGGTGCAGAGGGGCTTTGAGCAACAATGGTTGTCACTGACGTTTTCAAAGGCAATATTTCTGGGAAATGGTCTTGTGGCTATCTTGGCTGGATTGTTTGGAAACTTTCTTGTAGATACATTTCAACTCGGCCCCGTGGCTCCTTTTGATGCTGCTGCATGCTTTCTTGCAATTGGAATGGCTGTTATTTTGTCATCATGGACAGAGAATTATGGAGATCCTTCAGAAAACAAGGACTTGCTTTCCCAATTCAGGGGGGCTGCTATGGCCATTGCTTCTGGTAGAGTTCTGTAGTTGTTTTACACGATGCATTCATTGTTCTGAGCGGTGTTTGACAAGCCTTTTTTTTTTTTTTTTTGAAGTTTGTTTCTTCCTTGCTGCTTTTCTGACCTTCCTTCCCCATATTTTTTCGTTTTTAAACTTTTGCACTTTCCTCTGAATTATATTTAATGTTGTTCAGATGAGAAAATTGCCTTGCTGGGTGCTATTCAGTCTCTGTTTGAAGGTTCTATGTATACCTTTGTGTTCCTCTGGACACCTGCTTTGAGCCCAAACGATGAGGAAATTCCTCATGGATTTATTTTTGCGACATTCATGTTGGCATCAATGTTGGGAAGCTCCATTGCATCTCGGTTGATGGCCCGTTCATCACCCAGGGTAGAGAGCTACATGCAGATTGTTTTCATTGTCTCATCAGCCTCTCTTATGCTTCCGATTGTAACCAGTGTATGTATAGTTTCCAATCTATCATTTAGCTCCTTTGTTGCTTCTTTTCTTGCTCTCCTATTAATCTTCTTTCTCTGACACATAACAGTTCTTAGTAGCACCTTCTAAAGTGAAGGGTGGAGGTATCTCATTCTCAGGCTGTATCCAGATACTTGGCTTCTGTGTCTTTGAAGCTTGTGTAGGGATATTCTGGCCTTCCATTATGAAGATGAGGTCCCAATACATTCCTGAGGAGGCCAGAAGCACCATTATGAACTTCTTCCGCATTCCACTCAATATCTTTGTGTGCATTGTTTTATACAATGTAAGTTGCTAGCTTTACTTGCAAATCTTGACCAATTAGGAGTAGCAATTGTAGAATTGCTTCTAGAGCAGAAATCCTCACATTACTTGCCAGGTGTTTATGCATTTGTGTTAGTATTGTATCAGTTTTAATCACCCTCAGCAGATTGGGTTACCTCGTTGGTATCCATCCCCAGCATGACCAACCTGTAACCTGGATGTAGTTTTGTGCTCCCCGCTGCCACCCTCCCCCTCCCTCCCACCTACCACATATGGGTACAAACCCCGAATCTCTCTCGTTTTCTGTTTACTTACTAGTTCTTTGCTTTTGAAGGTTAATGCATTCCCTATCACCATTATGTTCGGTATGTGCTCGATTTTCCTCTTCATGGCATCTATCTTGCAGAGGAGGCTCTTGGTGATTGCAGAGAAGCCAAGTAAAAAATCTTTGCCCTCAATTTTGTTACTTCTGTTGAACTTAGATATAAATGCAGTGCTCACTTCATTTTAGATTATATTGTGCACACTGCACAGTGGAAGAAACATGATGCTTATAGTTACCAATACTTGCCTGTTGTATTATTACAGAGACAGAAGACTGGGAGAAGAACGAAAGGGATAGTGAGGCAGAGCCATTGAACCTTTGATCAAACAGACCGACGATTTTTGGAAACAACCACCCAATTCATTCTATATATCCGTTGTACTTCCAATTAGATTCAAAGTTTACATATGATTTAGCCTTGAAATTTAACAAGGAGAATGTAGTGTTCTGTCCTTCAAACAAAAAGGAGATACAAATATGTCTCTTGCACTTCTATAATTGTTCATTTTTGGCTGTCACTTGTTTGACAGAGTAATAGTGTATTAGTAGTATTCTTTTTTGTTCCCCCTTCTTTGCTTATTACTGTAAGGAATTTTACCTGTCAACAAAGTAATTCATGTTATTCTTTTCAAAGCTTGATCTATAATTTTGTACTCAACTGAACATGTACCTGGCATCTCAATTAAGCATTTGCTTTTGGGCTGCAATGTTTTTTTTTCCTGAGTGTTTATAGATGGTTGCGATCAGAAAACTCAAAACTACGCTACCAAACTCACTTTAAACTTAATTAGAACTCAATCAGTTTGGAATCGAATCATTGATTCGATGATGTATCCTAATGCCCTGTTGATGCTTTACGTACAAGGTTTAAGATATGGAAATTGACTCAGGGGAGATAAAGGAATTGGAATAGAAATTATTCTAATCTTTGGTGGTTTGCTTGGAATTTGATTGAATGGACCACACTTTAACAGAGCTGTATGGTGTGCCAAAAAAGCAAGAGTCTTTAGCTGATAAGTTCAGGATTACCAAAAAAAAAGTCTTTGGCTGATAAGTTCAGGATTAAGCACACTGATATTACATTCCTTCCCCTTGTTTGATCAGAAGTAATTTGACTAAGATTCTTGAGGAAAAAACGAACATCTCTTTATCCAAAAGAGAAAAAAGGTGCTGACCCCAAGATTTTCCAGTTGAAAAATTTGAAGTATTTTTCAACATTGGCGGTAAAAGAAACTATGAACTTGCTACGTTACACCTTAAAAAAAACAAGTGGACAGAGGCCAGATAAGTGCAGAATAATCTAACTAGTACGCCAAAATAAATATAGTAAATCGATTTAGTACCTTTTTTTTCAATCTAACTATAACTTAGTCCTCTATGTTTGAAAACTGCCTTTGATAATTGTTGACCCGACCGTTATCTTGTTAAAACATCTATTGGCTTTTTCTCTAAGTTCCTACTATGTGAAAAAACAAACAAAATATTTAGCAAGACAATGGTGAAGGTGAACAATAGTAAAGCAACGAAGTTTTTTATTTTAAAAATTAAGCACTAATATGTAATATGAGGAAGAATTAAGGACTAAAAGTAATTTACTCTAACGACCAGTACGTGGCACCGGTAGTTACGTCATGTAATCGTGTAACGGTCTGTCTGAACTCTAAAGCTTCCATAAGATTCACATCTGAAAACTGAAGCAAACAGGTTTGAATCGCAGTTAAGATGGAAAGATTACCGGCAGATCTTTGTCTTAAGATATTCTGTTGGTTAGATCATCAGAACCTTGCAACTGCTCAACAAGGTCAGTTGACATTTCTTGTTTTTCTCTCAATCTGATTTTTTGACGTTTAGCAGTAAAATTCTCTTCTGGGTTTGATGGATTTTCAGCTCTACATCTTGGGGGTATTTTTTTTTTATTAATTTTACTGTGAATGATTGCTTTTTCTGTATTTTGATCGGTGAGCGAGGGCAAGTAGTTTTTCTTGAATTTTCCTTGGATTATGCTAGTTTTTCTTTTTCTTTTTTCCCAAATGGTTGATCTTTTAGTGGGTTATAATATTTTGAGCTGTTGATTGCAGATCGCAAGCTGCTTAATGATTTTTTTCTTATAATAATTTTTGATGTGAAGCAATTGAATAAGTACTATGAAAGACCAATTGGTGATCCTAGACATAGGAAAATGATTGATATTTATGAATTTCTGCGAAGCATAGAAAATTGGTTCTTATATCATGTAATGCTAATTATGGAGAAAGGTTTTTCCCCGGAATCGCTTTCGAGAAAATCTCATCCGTTGAATGAATGCATCCTATTGTTAAGTCCACAAATATGCCTGAGATTCTTGGGGATGTAACTTTGAGGACAGATTTTCGGTAAGATCAGCATTGTTCTTTATATCGAAAGAGGATATAATCACTTCTACAGTTTTTCTGGTGTCTTTTTTAGTGTTAAGTAGCTCGTAGATTTACGATGTGTTTTCTTTTCTTGTAATCCAAATCATGAGCAATAGCAAGGGAATTTCGGTGAACTTCTCAGATTGTTTTGGTATTAAATAATCCTTTTTTTCTGGCATTTCATCAAGACAGCTGCTACTGTCTGTAAGCGCACAACGATTTCAGCCTTTAAGTGCTTCACATTGCTTGAGCTTTATGATGTATGCTCATAACGTCTCAAAATTCTTTATATTTGTTTTGGAAAGGGGTTTCAGAACTATTGTGCTGCAGATTAGCTACTCTGTAGCTTATAATTACAGGCGGTTCAAGTCAAAATTTCAGCTACTTCTTAGGCTCTCTATACACGAGATGCATTTGTTATGGCATGTAGATAATGGTCTGGTTCTGCAATGCATTCCATTTGGAGGTGTAATATGCAGCAGAGAATGCTGTTGAACCAATTTAGAAATGAATCAATGATGGCTATAATATTTATTAACTTGCAAAATTTAGCTTGATTATACAGGCAAGGTTTTTTTCGTGTCGTTAAATACTGGTGGTTCAGACTTCAGATGTATCGTGTATTTTAAACCTGCTGATACAGTGTTACGAGTCTACAGGCTTCCTTTATTGCTTTCTGGATCTTTTACGGTGTTATTAACATGCCGATTGTCATTGCAAAGTTTGCAAGAAGTGGAAGTTCTTGGCCTCAGACAACAAGCTATGGTCTAACCTCTTCAAAGAGAGATGGGGAGAAGATGGTGCAGCATTCTATGAGCCTGATGAATCAAAAACGTGGAAAGGTGTGTTTGAGGTGCAAGACCGTGGTGATCGAGTTGGATTGTAAGTTGAAGCGAAATCCAGTTTCTATTTCTCGTAGTATTAGTAGTTTTTGACTTGAGGCTGGGATAGCAATTCTGGTTCTATGGCGTTGTTTTTGCATGTCTCAATGAAAGTGCTGCTCCTTTACATGTGCAGGGGGCTGAAGATAATCAGAGAAGGTGATGACTACTATCTTGTTCACCAAGGTCAAATCCATCGGTATTTGGGTTCTAGGAGACAAAGGACCAGCACAGACCACTGCCCTCTAAATTCAAAAGGAAAGCTTGTGGGAGATGAATCTCTGAAAGAAGAGGAACCCAGCCGAGGCATTTTGGACCAAATGCTTTTCTTCATTGGAGACCTGGAAGTTGCTTCTACTGATGCTAAACGCAGTCGGGTTCAATGAGAAGTAAGTCTCCAAGGCATCGCTGAAAAGATTTAAGTGTAAATTTTCTGTTTATGTATGACATTGAATCTTATCGGTGTTGTTTCTGTCTCTATCAATTGAAGCATCTAATATTTCATTTTCTTTTAAAAATGTTTGTAAAGTGACCATACCAAAGCAGTAGACCAAGTTGCAAACTTGCGTTAATTTGTAAGAACACAGCGTACCATGAAGACCAATAGTAATTGTAACAGCAGTCTGGTTGCCATCTAGTTGGTTCGTGCAAGCAGGCTAGCATTCTATCCTCGACAATGAAAATGCCAGGATGCTTTGCCCTTTGAGAATAAAATGCCTGGTAGGGATTGCTAGCAGGAAAAACGCCTTGCAAGATCAAACACTATCACTAGGAATGACATGCCGGAAGGTATGGAAATCCAAGTACAAATGTGTTTTCGAAGGGTTCTCGATTGATACGAGAGGACGGTGAAGCATAATTTTAAATAACTATCATTATGTTACGTAATGGTTTCGAAGTATTTCGGTATCATTATTCCACAATTCGTGATAGGGACCACGACTGTTTTTTCTACTCAAAGAACAAGCAGTTCAAACGTTGATGCTGGCATTGGGATTTTCTGCGGAAACCTCAGGAGCAGAGTTATAGATATCCTTTCCAATGAGATGAAGGTGCTGAAGCTTAACTAATTAGCTGTAAGGGAGGCAGTTAGGCCGGCAACATCAAGAGGATGACACCGGTTAAATACACCTTTGCTTTTATACGATTCAGTAATATTCATTTTAAGTTCTTAAACTTCTTATTACTCGAAGTTAGGATAAATTAACCTTTTCATTTAATGTTTGATCAATCGTACCATGATATGTAATTGATGAAAATAAATGAGAAAATTGATTTATACTAACTTTGAATAGTGTAAGGTTTGTTTTCTATGATATTTAATATTTACGTAGAAAAAATAAAATAAATAATACAAGAATTGCGGGACGTATTTCTCATTTTGCGATAGCTGAAACAACATCCAGCAACATGCTAATATAAAATTACTTTTGACTTTTGAGCTAGCTAGAAATATTTATCTGTTTATTTGATAGAAAACAACTTAAAATTTTTTTTTAAACTCTAAAGTTATTTTTAAAAAAATAATTATTAATTTTTATTAATTAAAAATCAAATTTCATTGATTTTTTTCTTAATGCGAAATAAACATCAAAAAATAAAAAAAATAAGTTCTTAAAATTTATTTTCTTCTAAACACAATGGTAATTAGAGGGATTTTTCCTAATTAAAGAGGAACTAAAAACAAAAAGTCAAATATTATATTTTTGAGAAATAGATAAAAAAATTAAATACATAAAGAAGATAAGCGTAAGATTAGAAAAATAAAAATAAATGGTGTTATTGTTTTTAACCATCAACAAATCATGCCATTTCAGGGATTTCTGCATTTTTTTTCCAATAAGATGATTTTTTTAATATATATTTTCAATACTTATCCTTTTAGTTTTTAACTTTTATCTATTCTTAAATCTAAAATCCTTTGATCTTATTCAAGGGATAATATTAAATTAAAGTAAATTGATAAATGAGAGTTAATGATTAGTGATACGAACGAGCTTAAGGAATAAGAGTCAGATTAAGAAAATGTGTTGTTGAGACACTAAGTTGTATAAAAGTAAAAAATATAAGGACCTCCAGCCTCATTAATGATTAACCCCTAAATTTCTTCTTTCCTTCTCGCTCTGCCTCCAGCCTAGGGGTCTCTTAAGAGGAGGATGAAAGCGATAAGAAGTTGAAATGGTAAACAGATCCTTCGAAAGAAAAGAGAGAATGAGAGCAAAACAAGAACAGCCCATGATCAGCAACGAAGCCAAGAAGACAAGGGATCAGCCTGATTTGACAGAATGCCAGTCTTGTGGCCTCCGCATCTCCTCCCATAAGAGACTCGAGATTTTATACAGTGAGTGGCGAATCATCCTTCTTTGTGCAAAATGTTTTAACCTTGTCGAGTCTTCCAAAATTTGCTCTTATTGTTTCAGACAATCATCTGATAAGACTAAGTGTTTTCGTTGTTGCCAATGTAAAAGGGTTGTTCATAAATCTTGTTTTGCAAAACGTAAGACTGTTGCCCCTTGGTCGTATTCTTGTTATGATGACGGTGGTGATTTTTCTGTTTGTGTTGATTGTTGGGTGCCGAAATCGGTTGCTGTTAAAAGGGGAGAGGTTTGTAGGGTTAGTAAGAGGAGGAATGATTCTAGGGTTTTGGGTAGTAGTTTGGAGGAAGTGGTGAAAGATGCTAATTGTGCGGTACAGGAGAAGGTTGAGGCTGCGGTTAGGGCTAGAGAGTTGGCTGTGAGGAAGGCTTTGGAGGCGAGGAAGGCAGCGGAGGTGGCTAGGAAAGCATTGGATTTGGTGGCTAGTAATGAGGGTGTTAAGGATAATAATAATAATGTTGATGATTTTGAATTGGCATTTCGGTTGCATCAAGCAATGAATAGCTCGCCTCGGATTTCAAGTAATTTGTGCTTGGTTAATTTGAGTTGTTTGGGTGTTAGGATAGGAGAAGGTAATGGTGAAACACAGATTATAAATTCAGATATCAGGAATCCTGGTACTTATTGGAAGCTTGAAAGTTTTGTGAGTAAAAGATTGGACATGGAGCCTTGGAAATCCAATGGAAACAGTGATGGTAGAATTGGACCACATGCTAAGAAAGATGGGAACGTGGGCATACAATTGAAGCAGCGAGAAGGCAGCTTTTTCAACAAGTTGATAAACTCAAGGGGGAATGATCGTAGTGTGAACTCTGATTCTCAATCTTATAGGGAAGGAAATGAGTCTATGAAACCTGAAGATAAAAGATGCAAGAGAAAGCATGATCGCTATCTGCTGAAGTATAGTAGGAAAAAGGTTTTGTTCAAGTATAGTAGAAGAAAGGTTCTGCGCAAGTATAGTAGGAGAAAGTTAGATAAGAGGTTAATTCCAGATGGCAGGCTCAAGTTCCTTTATGAAGGGTTGCTCTCAAGACTTGGGCTTCCGCAACAAAACAACTGCTAAGGTGTTCTAAAGATCCTTAACGGATCTGTTAAGGATGACCATGAATGTTGCAGATTTACCTATAGTTTTCTGATATGTTCTCAACTTTTGAGGTTTCAAAGAGTTAAAACAGTTCGCATTTTCCTTGATGTATAAAACTCTGTGTACTTGGGGATTTTTCATGTTACATTCTTAAATTCAACCTTTGTGCTTTTCTGTTTTCTAGTTGTAGTTACATTTCTTACATGCCCTGTTTCTCTGTTCTTGCTAATTACTCTTTTACATTTGTTCTGATATCGAATGAGCATGCTTTGATATAAATTTCATTCATATCTAACCCAAATGACTGATGGTTTGAGAATGTTTTGAACGCTTCTATGTTATTAGAAGGAATGCGAAAGTAGCAATTTTATATGATATGTAGCAAAGGATCTGTTCCAGGAGTTTAGATCTGGTCTGTATGGTTGTTAATTTATGGGCCAAGTGTTCTTTGCTTGGTGTCATTTTGAAAAATGTGAACGCAGATGATTGACTTAACTTGATAGACTTTTATTACATATTTGTTTTTGTTTAGAGACTATTTCACAACATGCAGTTTGGCATTTTATTTTATATGCTAGTTGCAGCCCTTGGCATTCGTTTTGTCTTGTTTTAATCGTTCTTGTAACTCTATTAGTATGAACATAGCATGTCTAAGGAGAAAGAGAGAAGGAAGAAGGTGCTTTATTTGAACCAAGTCCCAGAACCCACTGAGGCTACACTCGCCGGCTTGTTCTGCACAGGCTACATCTCATTCCACCTTTCAGAGCTCTAAACAGGTGGCACCGTATAAATCAACGAAGGTTTCCTCTTTAGGTACTGTCCATGGGATGCTGATTAAACACTGCACCAAAAGTACTGATAAGCAAGTTATTCACTTACAGGTATGAGATTTTGCTTCTGCTGCTCCATTATTAACTGCAGGTACCTTCCTGATCTTATGCCTTGTATCCTACTGTATGTTGATGCTGCTTGTTCATGAGAAATCTTATTTTTACGAAGCATCGAGTGGGAATGTTTGCATTGAATGAGAATGTTTGCATCGGATTAATTCAGCCGATTCTAATCTGTTTATGCGTAGCATTGAGTGGGATTGTTTGCGCTGGATTAACTCTGCTGATTCTAATCAGTTTATGCAAAGTAGATGCAGCTGCTACTGCAATTGTTACTCTGGGTTGTCGCTACTGTTTCTTTCTGCATTGTTACAGCTGATTCTTACTAAGCTGATTTAGTCGGTAGAAGTTGATTCTGGCATTAAGGCAGTCTATGAAGTTCTAAACCCTTGTGTATTCTTGTTCAATGTATTTCTTGGTCTTGCTCTAATTTTCGGTCTTTTGGCTGCATTTTGTCTGCTAAATGGCCTAGACTCAGCCTATGAGCTTTACCTGCTCCCTGCTGGCATCCTTGGCCTTCTGGAGTTCCTCTTAATAATGCAATCGCATGGCTTATCAGGAAAATAATAATAATAAGAAGAAGAAGAAGAAGAAAATTTGCTCTTGTACTTCCATATTATGGTTCAAAGATCACATGAACCACTCAATCAAACACAATAAGTATTTTTTTTAAAACTGATTAGTAATAACTTAATCAGTTTGGATGCCCAACTACCCCTAGGTTAGATGTTGCCTGAAAGTATTTGTTCTCTAAAACTAAGTTCGTAGCCATGAAAGACTGCAAAAACAAGAAAATTTCATAAACATGCGTTTTCAAGTGATGACTTGATTTTCTTTCTTTCTATCTTTTTTTTTTATCATTTTAGGTGGAGGAAAATGCTTTTTTTTTTAACAAAATGAATATTTAATTTCAAATTGAAGTATAATTTCATTTTTACATTTTAAAAATGCAGTTTTAATCTAATCTCTCAAAACGACTTTTTTTTTATAAAAAAAAAACGTTTATAGCATGTAGATTTCAAGTTAGTTTTCCACGTCATTTTGTATTATATTAATAAAAATGAAAAAAAAATTAAAAAAATTAAAAAAAAATACTATTTATTCATTTTAGCTCAATTACAAATAAAATTAATATAAACTCAAACGATATATTTTTTTTTAATTTTCAAATCTATTATTTAAAGTTACTTAAAGTCATTCAATAAAAATTTTCAAATCTATATCATCACCCATGACAACTTTGTAAATTTTATTTTTGTAATTTGATCAATGAACTATAGCTCCTTAATTAAATAATGACTAATTTCAAGTCATTCTTAACTTAAATAGCATGTAATTAGTTGGAAACTGGAACTTGCATGAAATAACTAATCCTAAAAATGCGAATATCACCCCGTTATTTATGCATACACACACATACATATAAAGATGACGAATATATATATATATATTTTATAGAGATTTGGAGAATTATTTTAAATGTGGTCGGTAGGTATTGTTTTCTAGGATGCTATGTCCAACTTAATTAATTAATTTTTTCATCTCCTTTAAAGATATCTATGAAAATAAAATAAAATAAAACACAATCCATTTTTAATAGGCCATAGCATCAGCACTTACCTTAGTTGAGGCCTATGATGGATTGGGGAATTTTGTGCAGTAAATGGGGAGAAAAAGTGAGAGTTATTTTTCAAAGAAAGTCACTTTTAACTATTATTTACTAAAATAAGATAGTTTTATCTTATTTTATAAAACAAATCACTTTTGGCCATATAAGATTTCAATTATCATGTTATATATTTTATCGTTAATAAATTAAAAATTTCCTTAAAGTAAAAAATTCTTTAACAAATACATTGCAATTGATTGCTTAGCTCTGTCTATCAGAATATATAAGACAGATTTTTCTTTCTTTCAAACTTTAATATACAAGCAATCCAATGATATATTATTATTTATCAGTTGCAAAAATGGATATTATTAGTGATTGAATTTTATGAAATAAATATTGTTAATTATTTCACAAAAACTATAAAAAAATTTCTTTGGTCGTTTGTTAAAGCCATCAGTATTTATTTTTGCTTTTAAATAATTTAATTCAAATTAAAGTATAATTTCATTTTTATTAATATCATACAAAATTGATATGGAAAGCTGACTATAAGTATGCATGATACGGAAAACTTGTTTCAAGAAATTGGATTAAAAAAAAGCATTTTTTAAAAGTAAAGGTAAATATATACTTCAATTTGAAATTAAAAATTCATTTTTTGAATATACATTTTCCTTCATCGGTAATGAAAAAGCTCAAGTCAGCTTACCACGTCATGTGATAATGCATTTTTTTTAAATGATTTTTTTATTTTTTTTAAAAAAATATGTTAAATTCATGGTGCATAAATCTTCTTTTTTATTTTTGAAAACAAAATGACTGGAAAGCGGACTTGAAATTTTTTTCATTTTTGTAACTGTAGATGGAGGAAAAATGCATTTTATTTTCAAATGGAAGTATAATTTCATTTTTTTTTACGTTTTAAAAATGCATTTTAATCTAATTTCTCGAAACAATTTTTTTTTATATCATATAGATTTCAAGTCAGCTTTCCACATCATGTTGTACTGAATTAATAAAAAAATGAAAATTTTCATTTTTTTTAAAGGCATTTTCCTCCATATAACATAATTTCCACTCATAAAAAAATGAAAAAAATAAATAAATAACAATTTAAAAATAAAAGTAAAAATAAAGATTCATTGCATTTACAAATGAAATTAAAATCCATCGAAGAAGAGTATTTCATAATTAAAACTGTAACCTTAATTTGAGGAGAAACTAAAAAATGTGATGGGGATTTGGGTATTAAAAAGGCTGTTAAAAAACTGAGGTTTTCTTTTTCTTTTTCTTTTTTTGGCCAATTTTCTGCCCCTGAGTTTGGTGGAAAATCATGGTGGCTTAAAGGAGAACCAATTATAATTTTTTTCATTTTGATTTTATACTGTTTTTATTACGACTTGTGGATGGAAAATCATGATGGCTTAAAGGACTAAAATATTTTTATTTGGTACACTAGCTGTTCATTTTATTCTAATATTTTCAAATTTCAAGTTTGGTCCATAATCTTATCTCAAGACTATGAGATGGTCCCAAACAATATTATTTATTTATTTTGGCCCAGTTACAAACAAAATTCAATATAACCTCAAACATAATGTGGTGATTTTTCTATTTCTTTTTTCTAAATCTATTACCTAAAGTCCCCGGACAAAATTGAGCACAAATGATATCCTATTATTAGAACTAACTTATTATTTTTACTAGTTAGTTATTATATTCTCTTAAAAAAAAATAATACAGAAAAATTTGTTTGGAATAAATATACAAGGTTTCTATTTTAATTAAAAAGGATGCTATCCTCTTGCTTTCTCTTATTACGAGGATCCGATATTTAATAATTAGATATGATAATCAATCGGGTATAAAATAGATATTTATTTTATTTATCTCAATAAGTACTCATTAAAAATATCTAATGGGTATTAAAGCGAGTAAAAATAAAAAATACATACTCATTAATATGATTTTAGAGTATGGATACTTGCTCTTTATACTACTAATACTCACTAATTTATTTTAATTTTTTTATTAACATACAAGGGTCTAATTGCATAAAATTTAATAAGGATTAAATTTTTTTTAAAAAAAATTGACGATAAAAAAAACTTATAAATAAATGATCATAGTGCAAAAAAAAATTTTAAGACCAAAAATATGAATATTTTTTATTAATTAATTTTAGCATGTTTTAAGTGAGTACATCGCCATCCCTAAGAGCAACCAAACCTAAAAAAATGCATCTATAATATGTATATGATTTCTCTATAAAAAATATTTTGATATGTATATATAAATGATAAATAAAATAACCCATCATCATTATTAATTTTTTTAAACTACAAAAGATGATTGACATAGCAAATAGATTTCGTTCCGCTTCATCTTCTTTATCTCTAATTCGTTTCAATCCGATCTTCAACAAAACAAGACATATAATTTTTTATTCTTATATCTGGAATTACAATTATTCATGCATTTAATAATACTCTTGGATTATTAATATTGTCATAACACTTCAAACATAAATCAAGATAACGTAGCACGTCTTATAAATAATTAATAAAATTATAACAGAAAATCTGAATTAATAAATTTTAAAAAATAGAAAGTTTCAATTACATCAAAAAATAATAGAAGGTCCAATTAAAAAAAAATTCAGATAGTACAGGATCCAAATGTGAGGTAACACACGTTCTCCTGGTAATATTCATGCCATCGAAGATGCCCTGTCAGCTGAGGATGCCGCTGATGGCTAGTGTAGCTAGGGATATTCTGGCCTTCCTTTCTGATTGAGAACTGAAGGAAAGTGACACTAACAGCTGATCAGCCCATGAACATTTGATGGATCTTAAGCTGGCAGACCGAGGATTTTCGGCAACTACCGCTCGGGTTATTCTATATTTCTACTGTACTTCTAATTGGATTTGAGTTTGCATATGATTTAGTTCTGAAATCTAACAATAAAATTGGCACTGGTCTGTCCTGCAAAGAAAGAGGAGATCAAAAAAAAAATGTTACATGGACTTATAATTCTTGGGTTTTTGGCTATAATCGGATTGACTAAGCAGTGTATCAGTAGTACTTTTTTCTTCTCCTTTTTGCTATTTTTTCTGTTAATGTAACATATGCATGAGCTGAAAACCCACCTAATATCAATAGCCCGAACTATCACGAATCAAACCTTGCACCGAGATCTTCTCACCAAATTCCTTGGTGGAAAATATTTGGGAAATTCATTCAGGATGGATTCTGAAACAAGGGATTTTTCATTTTCAATGTGATAAAAGAGAAGCTACGTACCAGCAGGCCTAAAAGCAATGTCAATATGCAGAAACTTCCAGCACAGCTGTTCTCCTAGCCACCAGCCTAACCAGCTAAAAATCTTGAAGAATAGTTCAACATTCGGGGTAAAACTCAAAACATCAGAAACTTACATTTCTCTGTTTCATACTCCAGTTGTTCTAGGTTTGATATATGTTGACTGACTGGCCGGTTGCAGATTTTCTCTCTGCTGTAAAATTTCAGCCCATCAAGCGATACCGTTTTTAAAACAAGCAGCTGGATTATATACAATTAAGTGGTAGTTTTCTATAATTTAATTCTCGTTATATAGATATATATAACTTAGGAAAAAAAAAAGAGACAATGTAAATTGTAAAGGGAACAAAGAAGGGTTTTTTTTTTTTTTTTTTTTGCCATGTGTTGGCAAGTAACATAATTAAGTATGTGTTTGATATTGAGGAAAAGCAGCAGCTGTAGCGGTATAAAATAGTGTTTAATAAAATATAAGTTGAAGAATGAGTTCTAATCATTAATATATCTAAAAGTATATTAACCAAATTCAAGCGAATGGCTTTAGCGCAATGAAGAATGAGTTCTAACCAGTTAATTAAATAATTTTAGATTCAAATCTTCATATATGTTAATTTTATTTGAATAATTGTATTTGTTATGCATGCTTAATAAATTAAAGCAATCAGTTTCGATATTTTAGCATGATATATCTTGGAAAAAAAAAAAAAACATATTCTTGACCAATGCGATGCTGTGACTTTTGAAGTCAAAAGCCACGTTAACCTTTGTCCCAAATGGACCCTAATTAATGCGCATAAATAACGTATTGGTTGTATGGGTGCCCTTTCTCTAGGCTTTTAGCTTAGGTTGGTTGATGAAACATTTATTGGGAGAGGAAGTGTGTATATATATACACTGAAGAAGTAGTAGATTTAGGGATGGTTTGTTTTGCGTAAACATTTTATATAAGAAAAATAGTTTACATATAAATCACTTTTCATTAATTTTTTTTTTAATATTTGACAAGTAATAGATTTGAAAAATCTGATTGTAATAGAATGATGATACTAATAATTCTTGTTATAGTGATAATGATGAAGTTGTAATGATGACGATTACTAAGCGGTGACAATTATAGAAATAATTATGGAGTAATGATGATGATGAATGAGTTAGTGGTTGTAATAGGGAGGTGATGACAGAGTGGTGGTGTAGCCAAAAGTTACCGTGGTGATGATGGTAATGATGGTGAGATGATGATTGTTTATATTATAAAATATTTTACGAAAAAATAACAAAATAATAATAACAACACCAACATTTTTTTGTGAAAGATACTTCTTATGCCAAAATTGATTGTTTTGGCTTTCTAGTTGCTTCCTTGTAAAGAAAAGAAAAGAAAAGAAAAGGAAGCGGTCATTCATGAATTGAACCTAACCTAATCTTATAACTAAATTATATATATCTAGAGAGAGAGAGAGAGAGAGAGAGAGAGAGGTAGCACACCTGCGCGGGGTGGGGACGAAAAGAGTAGGATCGGAGGAGGGGAGTTTGCTTGTGTAGTGTTAATCACCATGCTTGTTACGGCAAAGGAGATGGCCTCCTCTTTTGGAAGTGAAAAGAAAAAAAGATGCATTCATAGACACTGCCTGCAGTACTGAACAGTAAGTGAATAAGTGATTGCATGACCATTCACCAAGCAAAAGAAAGATTCCATATCTGCATGCAAACACATATAAATCGAATTATAGCATACCATATCCGATTTATCTAAATAAATTTATTAATTTCTATTGGTCAGTCAAAGTCTAAATAATAAGCATTAACATAGTCTAAAAAATAATAAATTTAATCTTGGTAAAAACTAATTTAGTATAAAATAAAATCTAAAAAAGTTAATTAACTCCTGTTGTATTCAAATTAATTAATTAATTAATTAATCTTTTAACGCGCGTCAATCGTGCTTAATTTATTAGTTTTTCTTCAAAAAAATATCTTCTGTTTTATTATCTACTTCTTTTCCTCATTTTTTTTATTTTTTTTAAATAAAAGCAAAATAGATCGGGGGAAAATGAAATGGACAAAAATAAAGGAAACTGTAGTAGTCATTTGTTACTGTCCTATGTGTTGGAGAGTATCTACGTATCTGTCGATCATAAAAGCGAAAAGAAAAGAAGAGAGAAGAACGGAATGAGTCCAGCAATAAATATATGGAACAAGCCAAGCCAAACAGGAGGTCTCAGCTATCATTGAGGCTCTTTCACACATTTATGGCTTTGCGTGTTTCTGTCGAGGATACCATTCTGGTTCCGCACCCACCCTTTCATTTCTCTCTTTCTCCTCTATTTCATTAATTTTTTTTATTTTCGTTTTGTCCTCTCTTGTCATGTGTCAGTAACTTGGTAGAGCTTGTAATGGAAAGAATTATCTCATATATATATATATTAGTTTGAGCGAAAAAAACACTATTTGCTTAATTATGTAACTTAGGATTCGAATAACTGTATATACATAAAACTTTTTGGATAGATGCATATATCTTATGCTTCGGATCGAACGAGTTAAAATTTAATTTGGGCTTTTGAACTTGTAATACCTAAAAAATAAAAAATATATATAAAAAAAATTACAAGATGGTATCTCATTGATAAGTAAATATTAACTTGTAAGTCAAATCTAATATTCAATCTTTTTTATCAGTATTCGTAAAAATTTATTCTCAAAATATTCTACACCATAATTAATAAGTGTCCTTGGCCACGTTCAAAGCAGAATTATTCTTGAGATATACAAAAGTGGATCGAAAACACTTATAATAAAAATAACTTTGCAGTATGCTTTTACCTACATCTCTCTATCTAAGGTCTACTAACATTAATAGATTCTCACTATTTCACCGACCAACGCAATGTGGATAATATAGTTTTTTTGTTTTTCATTTTTACTTCGATAATTTTCCTATTCTCACCTATTCCTTTGACAATTTAATTTCACTTTCACTAAAATGCCCAAGATCTCAAAATCAATGCTTTAAGTAGAATATAGATGCTTTGGATTTGTCATAAAAATATTAATTTCTTAGAATTTTCCTAATTATTTCTGACAAAATTTAATTTCTTATTTTTTTTATTAATTTCAAACTGAAATTAATTTTTATTATTATAATTTTGAAATCTAAATTAAAGCTAAAAATTAATTACTTAATTAATTCTATAGTCATTTTGACGGAATTTCTAACATATGTCAAAAAGAATATTTTTTTTTCATTTTTCCATTGGAAATAATTAAAAAAATAAAATAATTTTGATTTCTAGCAAAGAATTTCTTAACTCCATTGGTATTTTTTAACAAAAAGTTTCCTACTGATAATTTTGATTAAAAAATATCACCTTTTTTTAGTGTAATGCATACACATCAATGCTCTCCTACATTCTATGTAATTAATTAATAATTAATTAATTGAGTTAGAGGAATTAATGTTTTCTACTGACAAATTAAGGATGTCTTAAAAACGCATATTGCAGGCAGCATCTTCTTGTTTTCCGCACTAAGTACCTCTTACTGTCTTTCAGATTAGCACCATTACTTAATTAGCATTAATATCTGTCCTTTGCCCCCCTCAGCAAGTTCAAAACCATCGAAGTTCCCAAAATAGACCTTTTTCTTGCCCACCAGCTTGCCTCCTCTCGACTAACACCATTTAACCTATATATAAACGACAAATTAATTAGTAGTGCTATGAATGTTTTACCATTTCTATACACCATAAACTATGTACATGGCCTTTAATGTGTTTTGTTTGCGGTGATGTAATGTGTAAATTAGCGTATTGTTGGTTTAGTGATAAACAAAATAATTTTTAAATACATTTTCAACTAATACATATATTTTAAATTCTAAAACCGTTTTTGTTGAAAAAGTTAAACTTTGCTATTTTCGTTTCAAATATTGTTATTCGTATCTTCAACATGAAATAAAGATATTTGAATATATTTATAGTTTTATTATGACTAAATGTTACAAAATTTTTATGAATTTTAAGTCATTTGAAAATCGATCTCTTAAATTTTAATTTCGAGTTGTATTTTTAAAAATTTTTTTCATTTGAAATTGAGTTATTTTATTAGGTTTTCATCAATTTTAATGTATAAATGCAATCTTTTAGCAAATAAAAACACATATCAAACTTATAAATATTTTATTTTCTCTCTTAAATGGTAAGAAGTAAACAATAAAAGAATATTTTTGAAGCAATGAAACGAGTTTTGGAGAGATCACCAAAAGAATCCATAAGTTTTACTATATTTTTTAACCGTTGGAAAAATTAAAAAATCAATAACATACAAATCATATGTATATCTACTCTTAGAATTAATGAAAATCTAACAGAAGACCCAATTTTAAATATAAAAGTAATTATAAAAAGATTTAATTTGAAAAAAAAGACAAATTTTGAAAAGAAAAACAAAGAATATAAAAGTTTTGTCATATTTTTAGTTATTAGAAAAATTAAAAATTTAACAACGTCCAAATTACGTGTACTTTCATCTTTAAAATTTATTGAAATCTAATAAAAATTCAATTTTAAGTAAAAAATAAGTTGAAATAAGAGCTAATTTAAAATTTAAATTTAAAAACTGTTTTCATATAAGTTAAAGTTCATGAAAGAATGGTTTGTACCATTTTAACCTAAATATATCCAAAGAAGGGAAGGATTGCAACCTAGTGGAGATATGGGAGAAGGTAGAAAGATGCGACGACAAAGTTTTCAGCAGCTAGCCGCTGGTTCCCCTTTTCATAGCTGACACTGATAAGATGGGCACTATAACTTTCAGGTTAGCGTGTTGAAGTTAATACTATATATGTGTAGGGACCTAGGGTTGGTCTACGGAATTGCAAGCCATAAATAATAATGCATGATAGATAGCATCAAATCATCCAATATATATATATCCAGCTCTTTCCATCAGACGTAACCTCCTCTTGCTGCTGCTGCTGCAGCTAGATGCTGGACCCCTGCCTTTCCTATTTCTATCGATCACTACTCACTTATTTTTCATTCCATAAATACAACACTATACATATATCCAGCTCTTTCCATCAGATGCAGACGTAACCTCCTCGTGCAGCTGCTCCTGCTAGATGCTGGCCCCTGCCTTTCCTATTTCTATCACTATTCACTTGTTTTTTTTTTTTTATTCTCAAAGATATTCCAAGTCTAGGATTCATATTAATCATTTACTATTCTATTTGTATATTTTGTTTTGTTAGAGAGTTTTTTTTTATATATATAAATAAATTAAAATTTAAAATTATTTATTTAAACAATTAGAGTCACTCTCGTTTAAACTAATTCTTTTGAGTCTATTTAATTATTTTTCGTTCCATAAATGCAACACCATTGATGCTCTCTACCTGGGCTCTCATCTCTTATTGCAATCATGGTTGTATTGAGTTTGTATCATTTGCAGCCACCAACATTAATTTAATACTGCTAGTATCCTTAATTAAAACAACATGCACCATCTATATATAGATTCCTAGCTAATAGTAATTAAAAATAAAATTTCTATCCTACGTACCTAGCTAGTTCATGATCTTAGTGGTTATATGTATAATGAGTTAATTATAATTAATTATCCACACATATAATTTATGTTAATTAAGTCTCATGGTTTTAGAAGCTTATGTTTAATCTTCATACATTAGTTTGTCTGCGGCATTAGTTGACTAAATATGTTTTTGGCTTTATTTCTCTTTGTCGACATTGCCTTCTTATGGGTTTTTTTTATAGTTGTTTTCTTATGTCGATGGGATTTTTTATGCTTTAGTTTTAGATGTTAATTTTTGTAATATGGGTTTTTTGTAGTGGTGTTTTTATGTTGATAGGGTTTTGCTTATGCTTTAGTTTTAGAGGTTAATTACTGATTGTATGATCGTGAGGTGGAGGCCTATCGATAATTTTAATTTTATCAAAACTTACATAGGCAATTTAGAATTGCTAGTTAACCAATAAGTTTTTGGTTCAGTGATAATAAGTTTCTTGTACTTATAAGATATCACAATTTTAAATTTTTTATTTGAAGTATTTAATTTTTATTTTTTAAAAAAATTCATTGCAAGAGGAAGTCAGAATAACTCATCATTTTTGTACTAGTATCTAATTCAGTTTGTTTTGATAATACAATCATATCTTCTTGAACAATAACTTTCTAATATTTAATAATTGATGTAAGTTGGTAAGATTCTATCTATATCAAAAAATTAAAAATAGAATTGTTAGTTCACTTTTGCTTACAATTTCATTTGTAATTTAAAATACTGCACTCGATTGGTTCAACACTTATGGTATTGTTTCATCAATTGATGTCAAAATACTTATATTTAGTCTTTATACATTAGTTATATGCAGCATTAGTCGACGCAAATATGTTTTTAGCTTGTTTTTTTTTAATGCCATTACTGTCTTTACATACATTCTTGCAATTGTGCTTTTATGATCATAGAGGTTTTTTACGTTTCAATTTTAGAGTTTAGTTGTCAATGAATTCTAATTAAATTGAAATTGATGTCTTCTTTTGTTTTAAATTTTTGAATTCAAATATCTTTATGTTAAAAAAAATAATTCTAATTTTGATTTGGTATTCTCCCTTCTTTAAAGGATGGTTCGGCTATCTTTTCTTTGTTTTGTGTTCACTAATCTTCAAATTCCGCTCTTCATCACTTGGTCTGGTCGACTTATATTTTTATCTGCATTTTAGATAATTTAGCTGAACCTATTTTTTTATCCCATGACAATTTATTCTGAACATATCCGTATTTTCTAATCATAAGTATTGTGAAGATTTAAATAAAAAAAATTAAAAAATTAGACACTCGAATTGTTGTTTTCTCATTATCAAAAAAATTCATCTTAACAAAAAAACTTAAGTTAATGGGTGACATTTCATGAATTATTTTTTATTATTTTCGAACACATTTCTTTAAATGTAAGCTATATAGATTTAAAACTAACACAAATACATATTACTTTATACTTAATTCTTTTTTAATTAATTAGAAGAGTAAGTATGGTGATAGAATTTGAAGTTTTAATCATTTGGTTAACAAAATTCTACTTAGAACTATAATAAAAAAAAACTTAAATCATTCTCTAAAACTCATGAATAATGAAAAGGATGAATCATTGCATGCTTTTTTCCCGGGACATGAGCAAATTCCAAAGTCTGCAAAACAACTGATCAGATTGATGGAATTCACTGTTCCTTCACATGTATAGTAGTATTAGGTCTACCTACGTATAACATGATTTATAGTCGAGAGAGACCCAGCTAATTATTTTTTTTCCAGACATTCTTAGAATAATCTGTGCGTTAATCGAATCTAAAAATTAATATACCTTTTGAAAAGTATTAAATTTGGCAAAATTCGTTTTCCCTAAGAAAGCTTTTTGCACCACACACAGCTAGCATCTTCCCTTCAAAAGGGTATTAAATGTTTCTCCCATAATATTATCAAACCAGTAGCTTGCTAGCTTAGCTAGGTAGCTAGGGAGTTTGCAGGGAGACATGTATGTATGGAGGCTGAGGTTGTGGACTTTGTAGTGAACTGGGACCTTGCCCAACAAGTAATAGGGACGTGCAGCTGCAGCAGGTAGAGGCAGACGAATGTATTTAATTGGTTTTCATCTTTCCTACATCCCAATAATTACGAGTTAGAAGCCAAGACAACACAGCAAACACTGTTTGTTTCTGTCTTGATGTGCCCTTTTCACACTAAGTTCAGCACAAGCTGCATATTTAAGGTTCATTGTTCTCATTTTCACCTGCTTTGAACCCTTGACCTGATGAATTTTAAGCTTCAAGCAAGGCTGGTCAAAAGCTGGATTATAGGATAGACCACTATGCTTGGCTCACGTTCGCAGTTACAATCACAGTCGCAATCACAGCTGATGATTTCGTCTAATTCCCATGATCAGGATCAAGAAGAAGAGATTCCACGGCCACCAACAGCTTTCCATTTGCGTCAATTGCTAGTCACTTGTGCAGACCTCATCTCTCAATCGGACCACTCCGCTGCTAAACGCCTCCTCTCCATTTTGTCCTCAAACTCTTCTCCTTTTGGTGACTCCTCCACTGAGAGGTTGGCTCATCAGTTTGTTCGAGCCCTTTCTCTCCGCCTCGATCGCCATGGAAACACTACTAGTAGTACTCCTGCAGCTCCTCTTGTTTTCAATATCAACAACATAGTCACCTCTCCTCCTTGTGGTACTAATAATAAGATGTTGTTTAGCTATGAGTCGGATCAGGAGACTCTTCGGTCTTCATATTTGTCCTTGAATCAGATCACGCCGTTCATAAGATTCAGCCATCTAACAGCAAATCAGGCCATCTTGGAAGCCATACAAGTAGGGCAGCGAGCCATTCACATCATAGACTTTGATATCATGCATGGGGTGCAATGGCCTCCATTGATGCAAGCTTTAGCTGAGCGATCTAACAACACTATTCATCCTCCTCCTATGCTTCGAATCACTGGGACTGGCCATGACTTGAGCATTCTCCACAGGACTGGTGACCGCCTTTTGAAATTTGCTCAGTCTCTGGGCCTAAGGTTCCAATTCCATCCTCTTCTTCTTCTCAACAATGACCCTACCTCTCTTGCCCTCTATCTCCCTTCGGCAATTACTCTTCTCCCAGGTGAAGCCCTCGCCGTGAACTGCGTGTTGCATCTTCACAGGTTCCTCAAGGATGATTCTCGTGAACTGCTCCTCTTTTTCCATAAAATCAAGGCCTTAAACCCTAAGGTGGTGACCGTAGCCGAAAGGGAGGCCAACCACAACCACCCTCTCTTCTTGCACAGATTCCTGGAGGCCTTGGATCACTACACAGCTCTCTTTGACTCCCTAGAGGCAACCCTGCCACCAAACAGCAGGGAGAGACTGGCTGTTGAGCAGATATGGTTTGGGAGAGAGATAATGGACATAGTAGCAGCAGAGGGAGAGGGAAGAAGGGAAAGGCATCAGAGGTTTGAGATTTGGGAAATGATGCTGAAGAGTGTAGGGTTTCGCAAATTTCCATTGAGTCCCTTTGCAATTTCACAGGCCAAGCTTTTGCTAAGGCTCCATTATCCTTCTGAGGGTTATCAGCTTCAGATTCTGAACAATTCTTTCTTCTTAGGTTGGCAGAATCATTCCCTCTTCTCTGTCTCTTCCTGGCACTAGCTACCTACCTAGACTATCAATTGCCTTCTTCTAATTAGTTATTAATTAATGTCTCCTCTTGTACATCAATGCTCTCCTACAAAATATTTATATACTAGTAATTATTTGTCTTATATATAGATCAGAAGTAAACTTTTTTTTTTAATGTCTTAATTAATCCAGTTAGAACAATTAATCTTTTGTATTTAGCATCATAACAAAAATATTATATTGAGGAATGTGACACTTTTAAGCATATTGCAGCATCTTCTCTTCTTCTTAGCTAAGATCTGTGTCTTTTTACCTTTACTAATTCATGATGCTGTCTTTTAAGCAGTATTAGCTACTCTCTTATGAATTAAGCAAAAGCTAGTAGCTAGGCCGAGGGGATCGAATATGCATGATGAGACTTGATCAGTTTTGACATATTTGCAAACAAATGATGAGAGGAGAAAAGAGCCCACAATTGTTCCCTAAAATTCCCTTGTCTTGTTGAAAATAGCTTAGCTGTTGTTTCAACTTTCAAGATCGAGGGGATGCATGATCTTGATCTTGAACTAGGTTTTCTTCTTGTTTTTCTCACTAAGTGCCCCGTATATTCCTATCGCTGTCTTTCATATTTGCACCATTAACTATTACCCTAATCTCTGCCCTTTGTCCCCTCAACAGCAAAATTATCGAACTTCCCAAAGTAGACCTTTTTCTTGCCCCTACCTTGCCTCCTCCTCTAAAACCATGCATGCAAAACCCTCTTTGTGCTAGCTAATTAAGCTAGTTAAGGATATCCCTCGTGTCCTTTACGAGATTATTTAAGTTGCAAGGACAATTACTGCTAATTATCTGTTTTGCATTATTTATTTATTTAATTCCTTTTTTCGAACAAAGTAATGGGGTATAGTGATTTTTTAGGCATGGTGGTGATCAAAGGAATAGGTTTTTTTTCACACAAATAAAAAGGTTATTTATTGTCGTCTCATATTAATATTTTTTATTCACATTTTTCTAAAATTTCTATATGACATAAAATTAATATTAATTAGAAGTATTTTAGACAAGTATATCACTTGAAATTTTTGACCAAATAAACATTATGGGATAAATATAAATAGAAAGACAAACAATTTTTTTAGGATGAAATAAATATCATATTTCAAAGGATTATGAACTATAAAGTATTATGATCAACATAAGAAAATTTTATCTGTTTTTTTTTTTTTTTTTTTTTCTGATTTGGATTTCAAACAAGTTTTTTTTTTTTTGGTCTATAATTAGTTTTTATCACATGATCAATTTCAAGTTACATTGAATGCACGTGAGAGACAATTATCGTCATAAAACAACAATACGTATTTTATGTTTAGGATTTTTAAAATATATGCTGTTATTTTAATGACTATATGTGTCTCTTATGTCATTTGAGATGGATTAACATGATATATAAAATAGTTTAATTAAAGAGAAAAAAAAAAGAGATTAGAGACCTAAATCAAGAATTTTTTTTCCTTTTATCAATAATCCAAATATATATTTTATAACCAATTAATCTATTTAAAATTCTCTCTTATTTTGAATTTCCACATATATGCCTCTTTGCATGGCAATTGACTTGGCATGATGCAAGGAAGGGAAGGGTTGTAATTCAGGGGAAAAGGTAGAAAGATGACCCGATAAGCAGCTACCCGCTGGTTCCACTCTGATAGCTGACTTTGATAAGATGGTCACTAGCTTTTAGTTTGCGTGTTCAAGTTTAGACTTACTTATAAGGCTTAGTTACCGCTAGCTAGGGTTGGTGCAAACATGGCATTGCCATTCCAAGCCCCATCTATATATATATGTGTGTGTGTGTGATTCAGACGTAACCTGCTGCTGCTGCTGGCCTCTGCATTTCCCATTTCTATCACTACTTACGTATTTGTCATTTGATTCATACAAGAGTAGCATTGATGAGATCGATCTCTACCTTGGCCCACATGCAATTATTACAATCATGGATGTATGTAATTAAGATTGTGTCGTTTGCGCCCACCAACACTAATTCCTTTTGCTGTACCCTAAACATTATCACTACTTAATCATGTATTCAATTCAACCAAAGTTAAAAGAGTCCTAGATTAGAACAAAATGCTTCGTTGATGTTCCTAATTAATTGCTATTGCTATGATAATTAAGCGTTTGGATAGATATTTCCTGGTTAAAAAGCATGTTAATTAGTTTGTTTACCTATTGAATGGAGACCTATATGTCTATAAGACCGGTTTTGTAAGGTTTTGTAAGTTAGTTTGTGATTTCCATAATATTACTTTATCTGTTAATAAATTGAGATCGATTTGATTTTAGTAGAATTTTTTTTTTTTTTTTTTTGTTGATAAAATGTTGTAGTTGATGGTCTAATTAAGAATAATATTAGCAAAAAAGAGGAATTTCTTGTATGATTCTAATTTTTGTAACTTTCTTCATAATTTTTTCTTGTCACTTAATTGCTGACTTTTAATTTAAACTTCTCGATTCTCATGGAGAGAGAGAGAGACCTATATGATTTCTTGTCGAGGAATAACATATGGTCCTATTATATATTTGGAACTATATGGTTTGTTTTGGTTTATTTTGTCTTGCCAAATATAGGATAAAAAAAGAAAACAAAGATATGTCCAAGGCTATGTTGCTATAGCAAGCTCATGAAAACTACAATGGCATCCTTTGCAAGGGAAACCTTAAGGACTCTGGACTTGTATTGATCATCCTGCGCAAATTTTCCGTTGGCCCAATATAGAACTGGTGAGAAGCTGCCAAAGAAGAAAACACAGACGAACATATATATATATATATATATATATATATATTGGAACTACCCAAGTAACATAGTAGTCTTCAATTAACTAGGGCACAAAATTGAGCTCAGTAGGAAATAAAAGGACAAAAAAGCAAGAAAGCCAAACTATTATTCATTCATACTATACAGGTAACAACGCAAAAATGCCAAACTATTCTTCATTCAAATCCTTTTCGTGGGGGCATGAGGAAGAAAACCATGCCAATCCACACCTACTATCACTGAGATTACAACATCCAGCAGCACACGAGAAAACAAACATGCTACCAGTACTGCATAGTAGTATATACTTGGCTGAAATCATCAGCAGCTAAGACATTGCATGACTACAGCTTTGAAGCAGCATCTTTGTCCAAAAACCATTTCAGCTCCCCTTCAGGTGAAACCATTTGTACAGGTGATAAAACATCTGAATTATGACTATTTCCTACCGCTGATTGCACCGCACCAGCTTTACCAGCACCACACACCACAAGTGCAATATGTGAAGATGAGTTGATGACAGGCAAAGTAAAGGTAATTCTGTCTGGAGGTGGTTTTGGAGAGTCTGTGATGTGAGTAACCCATTTCTGATTTTCTTTGAGGAGTGGATGCCCAGGGAAAAGAGAAGCTACATGACCATCTGGACCCATGCCGATAAGCATTAGATCAAACTTTGGGAACCCACTCACTGAAGATTTATCTATCACGCCAATATGAACCAAATGTTTGAGACAGGTTTCATAATCAGTAGCTGCACCTTCAGCCGTCAAGGCTTCATTGATGGCATAAGCATTACCAGGAAGGATTGGTGCCTGCCAAAAAATTAAAGGAAAAACAAAAAGGGTTTATTTCCCAAAGAATGACATTAATAAGCAGTAAAAATAGATTGTCCATGAAAAGAAAAGAATTCAAGCTCACACTGTACTAAATCACAAACACATTTGTGCGTACATTATATATATATATATATAGAAATTATTACTCTCACAGTTCAGATAAATTTCCAGTTCTCTCATACGTACTAGAGAATTAATTCCATAGAAACATGAACATTAAAGTCAAAAATTCATCATCAAACAGTTGAACAAGGCCTATGGCTGTAAGTAAGTCTAAAAGTACACATTTTTGTCACATATCAATTCATTACTTTCTACAAAATTACTAAACCAATAAAATTAGTATTAGAAGCAAAACTCATCAATTAATTTTCTTTAATAGCCCCATTTTTAGTTCTATGGGGATATTTTAACGAAATGATGTGACTTTTTAGCAGGGAAAAATACAGCGCCCCAACTCCATTGCCAGCTATCTAAAACTATAATTTGAAAGTCATACAAGGAAATTTTGTAAAATTCTACAATCACTCAGACAAGAACAAAATGTATATGTCATTCTTACCATGGAGAGAAAAGCATCAAAAGCAAGCTTATAGTTACTGTCTTGATGATCTTTAGGAACAACTCTCTCATCCACCCAAAAAACGTGCCATTTCGACCAATCTATCGAACCCACATAAGGTGGTTCCACTAATTTCCTTAACCCCACAACAAAAAAACACAAAGCCCATCATTATCAATCCAAAAACAAACTAAAAAAGATCGAACTTGACTGTGACAAATAGTACATACCTTAGGGACTTGACGAGAGAACCACCGGACAAAACGACAGTGAAAGACCCTCTTTCTTTTGCAAACTTATCTGATAAACCTGCTGTGTATTTCGCAAGAGACACAGACAGTTCCTCCTCTGTATCAAACACCTCTACCACCTTCTTATTAGCAGTAGCCATGGATAACGACCGCGGCGGCGGCCTTGTGGTTAATGACCGGAAGTGGCTTAAAAAGGGATTGTACTGTCGTCGGCGATCGAGCTTCGGCAGGTAGGAGGAGAGAGTACGAAGAGAGGTTGAGAAAAGAAGAGATGAAGTGGCCATTTTATAGCCGTTTGATTGTTTTCTTGACTGGATGTGATCAGTGATGGATGATGGGGTTTGGTTAAGTAGACGTTGAATTTTTTAGATGAGGTGGCGGATCAACGATGCTGAGAAAGTGAAACGTGGACGGAAGATGGATCGGTCAAAGTCGGTTGCAAAGGTTTGTTTGGTTTGCCTATAATTATCATCTTGCATTTTCTCCGAACTATTTTTTCGGACGAAAAACTTACGGTGCCCTTCCTTTGTACTCTCCAGTTTTAGCTACTTTTTCGGAGGAAAACTATCTCGTGTCTGTACTCTCCAGTTTTAGTCATTTTAACACCTGTACTCGGTTGTCCATGTCAAACAAATTCTATACTATTTGAAGTTTCCACAAACCATACATTCCATCGAACTCTAATTCAGTTTGTCATATTCATTATATTCATGGGTTCATAAATGAGTTTCAGATTTCTCGATATCTCGTTCTATTAAATTTTTTTTTAATTAAGATATTAAGTTTTTTTCTATTCAATTTAGGAATTCTACTATTATATTATTTCTATTATTTCAAACCCCGATATGTCATATAAACACGTGTAAGCTCTAATCAATGACAGACTTATCACGTATCGTAATAAACCTAAATTAGGTTATTGAATTGATTGCGTGACAAAGTATCATTGACTAAAACACACATTACAAACTATTATTGATTAAAATCTAAAATAACAATATAAAAATAAAACTTTTAAATTAAATTAAAAAAATTCAAATTTCAATAAAAAAAAAATCAAATTATACGAAATCCATGTACACATAAAACCCATTCAAAAACATCTTAGGGTTGAAACACAAAAATTATAAGTTCAAGGAAATCTTGCAAAATTTGAAAATCTTAATGGGAAAGGCCAGTAGAGTGGAGAACCAGGCTAACACTATCTTCTTTTACAAGACCTCTTTCCTATTTGTTGTCCAACGTATGGAACCTGGAAGCAAAAATACATATATGTGTGTTGTGGTCTAGATGGGTTTCTTAAAATCAAACCCTCTTCTCCCCCTTCAGGGGCAAAAACGAAGAGTTTATATGATAATTTATACAACTGCTATTCTGACCAAAAAAAATCTTCTAGCAAGCCTATCATCTAACATTACTAGAGAGGAATGGCAATGCTGATTGGATCTGATCTCGCAACTTGATTGTCAGTCTGGAGACCGTATTCTTAAACGTTTCGCAGGAACTTATCTCCTCGAGGGAGAAGTCGCCTTGCTGAAGTGCATGGAGCTGCCTTTCCAAGTACCTACAAAGACCAGCCTCCGTGATGTTAATTAGACTGAGAGAAGGATTTGTGTGCATAAATTTAGTAATGAGAAATCCTGCTAGGATCTGCTGGTCGGCCTTCACAAGCTCTGATATGAAGCTGGGAAACATGATTCTTCTGAAAAATAATAATGCGTCTTTCTCTATATTTACACGTTCATTTGTTCGCTTGTTCGTGATTGTTGATAATTGGGCTTCCTGACTCTGGCGTGAGAAATTTCCAACCACATAGCAGAGATATGAGAAAGTGGTGCCATATGAGGTTTTGGTGATGATATTTGATATAACCCCAGAAGATAACACAAGCATTAAGAACTCATGATCCCTGCCAGCCGAACCCGAAATCCCTCCTTGTTTCAGCTTGTCTTCAAGTACACCCAAACACTGCAACTGTATTGCTTCATAAGGCAGAAGAAGCACCATTTTTAGAGCCATGAAATAATCCTTCTCCAGCACAGCCTGACTCAAGCTCCTTGCATCATCTTCATCAAGCAATATTCCATTAGATTTTGATAAGGACAGGTCAATCAGTCTTAACACATCCTTAAACCTGGACGACGTTATAAGCTTTTTGAAAATTTCCATCCAACAGACATGTAAAGGATGAACGTGATTGGAATTCTCTGTCTTCTCTTTCTCTGGAGCTTCTATTTCCTGTAAGCTTTCCCATCCTTCATCCCAATCATCATTATTCCAGTCATTTCCTGTTTCTGTTGCTTCTGTGGTATCTGCCTCATCTTTTGCTGTTACAAAAAACCCTTCCCACTCTTCTAAAATGCCTATCAATGCATCAAAATGAGACTCCGTTCTGGAAGATCCACACAACTTCAAGAAGCAAGAGACAGCAGTCTCAACATCCAAGAGATCATCAGGGGTAATTTCTATACTAGAGGATATGGCTGATGCAAGCTGAGATGATTTGAGGGCAACCAGTGTACTTGTAAACCTGCTAGAAGTATCTGTACGATCAGGCAACCCTTGATTTGCAGAAGTCTCACTCTTTTTACTGGTAGAGAGCAACCCATCCCATCCTTCCCATGGTAAAAGATTGGATTCTAGCTCCGTAGAGAAACCCTTAATATTTCTACCTGCGATGAACTGCATAATTTCTAGAACATAAACTCTAACATGGCTTGGGATCTCCAAATTATCAGAGAATTGGGCCATTCTTTCCCAAACTACATGCCTGACTCTTTGCATATCCTCTATTTGACCTTCCAACTTACTCAGAGATGATAACAAATTAAACAAATTCTGGTGTTCATGGGATCCACCAACCAAGTCTCTTAGAATCGGTTCCAACATATTTATATAGAGATGTGGAAGATCCAGGGATTCATTGCCATCGGTTGGAGCTGAACTGAAGGCACACTTCGACATTGCTTCCAAGAATACTTCTGAAATGGCTCCAAACCCACAACCGGAATATAACATAGCTCTGCAGAAAATTGGTATCTCAACAGCAAAATCACCAATTAAACCACAACTTGCATAACCAATTATGGTGCCCCACACCTGACTTGGTGAAACACTGTCCTCCATCACCAACCTCATAAAAACCTTCAGACAACTTGATAAGAACTCTGGGTCAAACGTGAGTTTTCCTACTAAACCCTCATTTAACGCCATTTCCTGCATTTCTTCAGTCAATTTAAGCCAAAAGTTCAAAAGAACAATGAGGCAATCCTGCCATGTTGAGTTATCTGGTATACTCTCATGAGAACCGTGCAGGGGTATAATCACTGTGAAGTATTTCTTCATAATATCTAAAGAATCTGAAGGTGCCAAAAGCCTGATATATGTTCTGCAAAAATCATAGGTTTGCTCCAGTCGACTCAAAAATTCTTGAAACTTTTCAGCATTTCTAACATCAAACTCTGTTCTAACTCTACTTTCCAAAGTCGTCAATAAACTCAGCACGTAATGTTTGTAGACATCTTGCCACAGTATGAGACCTTCAGGCACTGAATCAGCATAGATACTGACTAATGTTTGTACCATTTTTGCCAAAGCTTCCAAGTTAAATTCATCAACATGCGAAAAGACTTCATTTTGGAAAGACTGCAAATTCAAACCATCTAATCCAGCAACATTCTTGAAGTCTAGGTTCTTAATAAAGGAAACTCTGAGACATTCTTGCTCAAAGACCTTGTACAAATGAGCTAACTCATGAGCAGACAAATTTGATGAATTTGGATGTGCAGTTGACAGAGATTCTTTGGTTTCTTCCAGCTGCAAGTAGCAGTCTGAAAGGAGGCCATATATACAAGCAAGGCGTTGCTTGTTGCACCCATCAATTGCAGGGTAAACAACCAAGGAGATAGTTTTGATGGTTTCAGAACCACAGCCAACTATTTCTCTCTTGACCTCTGAAATTTCAGCCTTAATATCATCATCAGTCCAAACCTCAGAAACAAGGATAGTACTTAGATACCGTAGTAGCACCTACAGAACAGAGAAAATATATTAAATAACAAGCCAAGAGGGCAGGTAGTTGTCCTCCACGCAAAAAGAAAAATACAGATACAACAACATACCTCAGTGTGATTTAAGCCATAGGCATCAGCCAATTTTAAGACATCCCTTATAATGTGCTTCTTTTCCAACTTTACTGATTCAATCAAGGAAAAAGAGCACTCTTAATATAGTCAAGGTCACCAGACAGAAAACGCCCAGTTTCAACTCCAGGAATGATTTTCTCCAGCTCTCTAGATTGTTCTGCTATGCGTTTTTTCTCTTCTAATTTGAACTTCCATTCTCTCCAAAACGTGGACTGTACTTCATCAATTTTGGTCATTTCATCTGCATTCAATAGGTAAAACAATAAACAGAAGAAACACCATCATTGCTCTGGAAGGAACGTTTTAGTGCTATTTTACAAAGACATGGAATTATAAACAAAATCACGTCAAAATTGTATGCAGAGTAGATTTTTGAAGTCACAAACGACTAAAGGCAATCACCTGAACTAGGTGGTTTGTGCTTCTCTTTAAACTTCCTCAGCAGCAGCTCTCTCCTCTCAGCTGGACCCTTGCACTCAACACCAGAGTTATGTAATAAACTGTATGTCATTCCCACATTCATGATGCTACTAATTTCTTGGTAATTCTCCCGCATCCTTAGCTGCTCTTCTATTATTTCTACTCCACTAAAGGCATCCACAAGATTCAATAAGAAAGAGCACCCCATGATGTCTTCCTCTTCTGTAACAGGTGGTTCTATGATTGATTTTGCCAGAGAAGCAATGACATCATCTCTTGGAGCAAAACCATTTCTTGCCAGCCAGGACAGTATGGTTACCACAGCTTGTGTTCTTATGCTGACATAATGCTTTCCAGGAATAAAGTTGCAAAATTTCTTACCATTCTCTGCTTTCTGACTCAATTCAAGCAACCACGGAAGTTGAATAGTGGCAAAAGATAAAAGTTTTCCATTTTCCCATAAAAAAGATTCCAGATCAGTTCCACTATCTACATGCCAGTTTTTAATAACAAAAGAAAGTGTATTTTTAATGTTACTTAAACACACTTCTCGATCTCCACTGATTGCTCCCCCAACCAGTTCGGAGGAATCTTGCTTTCCATGAGCTGGGAGTGGTGTAATGAAGGAATCTTGATCTGAGATGCTGGAAGGACTTGTCCCAGTCAAGATAGACAAATTCTCACACTGGCCTTGCATGTCAAGATCTTTCCACGCATGAAGCAACTCACCAATAGATTCCTCGTCACAATGACTCAGAGCAAAACCAAGCAGATGCTTTCGAGAGCCCATATCAATATTTTCAAGGGCAGGACCCCTTGCTATTGCAGCACATAGATCCCAAACAGGACCATGCCCTTTTTTGGCAAGAACGAGGCAGAGATCAAATGCCAATTGCAGATCACCTGCCACCGCAGCTTCTCTAGCAATAGCTTCTTGAACAGTAGATATATCATCTGAAGAGTTCAACCCAAGAAGTTTGGCAACCTCAATGAGTTCATCAACATGTAGATAAGCTCCAGCTTGGCTAGTGATTGCCATTTTGATGATCTCCATAGGATGCTTTATTTGCCTGAACTGCATAGGTAGTAGAGTCACTCCAAGGTAGGGAAGTTTAACAGTGAGAGCATCAATTATATCAGCCTCTGTCTTAACATTTCTGCTATTTGGAAATAAACTAAGGCATTCCTTGGCCTTCCAGATCTGAAACAAGTTGCAGAAACATAATCAATCAATTTAAATAGGAAGACTTCCATTTAACACACGAGTCAATGTCAGCTGGAATTCAATAAGAATATAAATCAAAATAAGCCAGAATTACTACCATACAATAGCAATAATAAAAGATTTTACATAAAGTTCAATATAGTAGCTTGAAGGTGATCTTTAAAGTTCAATATAGTAGCTTGAAGGTGATCTTTCAGTCTTGATTTTTTATTTTTTATTTTTGATTATAAACATGTTCATAAATATATTTATTTATAATTGTAATAGCATATACCATAACAATGATAAAAAAACATTATTGCATATTATAATGTCGCTTGTAAAAATAAAATTAGAAAAACTAAACACAACCTGTTACAATTACTTATTCCACAAGTGTGTTAAAAGAACCCCAACCCACTCCATTTCATAGGAAAAAACTCAAAAGCATTATTTTATAATCCAACATACATCATAATACAATACACCAGTAAAAGACCATTTTGTTACATTATAGTTGATATTCCAAACTTGGCTCTGACATACAACAAAAAGTCCATGTCTAGTTAAGAACATCTAATAAAAAAATCTAAATGCATCACAGAAAAATAGCGTTGTTAAGGAATTCATGGAGATTCCACTCAAGTAAAAGGAAATAAAATAGAGTCATTTAGTAGTCAGCTTTCAAACACTTTTTCAGAACTTAGAAGCAGTCCAAATAAGGCTATAGTCATCTGCCCAGTCAAGAAGATTTTTTCATATACACAAAACTTAAGAAGATTTAAAGTTTTTCAAGAAACTTTTAATGATGATGCGTGTCTATTTGAGAAATAGGGTTTTGATATAAATATTTTGTCATATAAGGATGGGCTTAAAATGGGTTTGTTGGAATTACAGTGGGAAGTACTGTGTGGCGGTGCAATGGTTTTGATTGTTGTTTGGACCACTGTGACTGCAATTTGAGTTGGATTTGTGGTGAAGGAGATGGCAGGTCCGTGGATGGTTGTTTGGATTGTTATACGGCGATGGAGGAGGTGCAATGGTAAGCAGGTTTTGTGACATTGATTCTGGTGAGTTTGTGATGGTTAAGATTACTGGTTGTGGTAATTAGATGGTGGTAGCATAGGTCTGTTGGTGGAGACGATGCTGGTCATAACTCGGCTTTGTGGCTGGAGCTGCTGGTAGTTTTTTTTTTTTTTTTTTTTTTTGCCCCAAAAGGGAATTGGACAAAGATGAATGGCACATGAAACAAATTTGACATTGACCCACAATTCCTTCTCTTGCATGGATTTAGACTTTAGCACCATGGAAATAAGCCCACCAAAAAGATGACCACAACAAGTTAATAGCTAGAAAATGTATTTTTTGACATATAATAAACAATAAACCAAAACATTTTCACCGTTCCAAAGATATCTAATAAAAATTTTAAACTGCTTACATACAAGGGTGCCTTTAAAACAATTCCCAGTAAAACAAAACATGGGTTACTAAAAGAAATATTCAAATTCAGAACATGCAGATTAACAATGGATATTTAAAGAGATGAACATATCAAATTATTGCTAGATATCCTAAGCCATAACAGAGCTTAACATGCATGAGTGCTTACTTCAGAGCAAGACAAACTTGAAGCTGAGAAAAAATACTCCCGAGCTGCTTGAATAACAAGAGTTTCTGCTTTCTCTGATGCCAAGGCTACTGAGCTTGTACCTTTCAGATAATTTCTTGCAAGAGAAAATTTCCCAGCTTTCAGCAGTCCTCTGCAGAATTCCACTAGCATATACTCTGGGTCAAGGAAAGGAAAAGCCTTATCTCGCAAGCATTGCATATCACGCCACATGTTTGCCCAATCATTATCTGATCGACCTGGCTGTCTCCGAACAAATTTTGAGAGTATAAGACGAAGAATCTGTTTCACACCTTTGTCATCTGCATGAGCCTCAGGGAAAAAACTCATTGGCTTTGGAACCTGAAACAAACAGTTCATTGTCACCGCATTAGTGCAAACAAATTACAACAGCAGTTAATGGCTCTAGACCACACAATCTTAGAATGCTGAGAGCCTCAAACAATTTCATTTATCATTATTCTTCCAGAAAAAATTACAGTAAGGAGCATGTTAATGAGTGAAGATGCCTGGATAGAAACATATATCTAATGGTTCATTTATTTGACGCTTGTAATGAATTCCTGATCAAAGAAGCATGGGCCATAGAAAACAAAAGACAAACCTGATACAATGCCAAAAGCCTCCCAGCTTCAATATGACCTTCAGCAAGTTTTAGTCGTTTCTCAAGGCCCTCAATAGATATTCCAACATCTGCTAAGGTGAAATGCGATGGATTATTTTTAATATTCCACTATCAAAGATACCAAACAATCTCAACAATTAAAATACAAACATAAATATATGTGCCATTTGTTTGTGTACTTTGATCGTTCTAGATCTAGAGAGTCACTAAAGCCAAGACTCTTGAACATACAAGTGGAACTTACAAAGAAATGTAAAGTTCCAGATCGAGGAAAAGTGATAAAGAAAACTGACGTTACCACAACTTCTGAAATTAAAAGCAACCCAAACTTGAAAGCATAACTTAATCGGAATGACCTATATCTTCTAAGCCAATTCCTATGTCAAGTTTGGGCTAATAAGAATCAATCCGTATTACACAGACTTTACCTTGCTTCTGTGGGAGCTTTGACAATAAGGCAGCCATTATACTCCATCTATCTGTAAGATTGCAAAAATAAATACACTGCAAAGCACAATCTACAGCTTCAATCTCATCCTTGAAGAAACCATTAATATGCAGTTCCCTGCATCCTTCCTCAATAACCATCAAGCATATGTCTAGTTTATTTTCCGAAGCAATTTCCTTCAGCCATTTAACCAGAAATGAATCATCCTTGTGAATTGAAGGGAAATGCCCATCTATATCCTGATCTCGAGTAAAAGAGGGCATGTTGTGAGACCTATTTCGCATAAATGGAATTGCCCTATCATGCAGCTTTTTTACTACATTTTCCTCTTTCACTCCCTTAAGCATAATTCTGAATTTTTCATAATCAGATAATTGCTCCCATGAGATAAGACTCATATTAGAACAAGTTTCAACATCAGTTTCATCCGAATAAATGAGCTGGTGCAAGTATAAAATATCCTCATGAAACTTCTGTAACTCAGAGATGCCTTTGCGGCAAGCAAAATCAATCAAGAAGAGACAGTTGTCAAGCTGGCCACTACAGCTATCAATATCTCTGGCTCTACACTTGTACCACTCACAGAGTTCACTAGATGATGGCCAAAGATAACCAAGGCTCCGTTTGAGAATGGGCTCAGTTTGGATCTGGATACCAATCTCATGATTCTCCGGTAGCCTATTGATAAAGTTTACCATCTCCTCACATTCTACCCAATCTTCTTCCCTGAGAGCAATTCTTGGGGTAGGGGATCTCCCAGGAAGAAGCTGCCCATAGGTTTGAACAGGAACAGTTTCAGGAATAGCAGCTAATATTTTCAACATTGAAGGAGACAGTGAATAAGGATGACGCTTGAAGAGGAGGTTTAGGGCCCCAATTTTCCCACTTTCAGCAAGTGTTATGGCAGCTTCATTGACAGGTATAACACGAAATTTGCTATATTCCTGTACAGAAAACCTGCACAAAGACTATGTCAATATACTGTCAGTTAATACAACTAATAATCTGGTAGTTAATTCAGGTACAGTTTAAGCTATATTTCTTCAATCACGTATGACATTTCCAACATTCGTAGCAATAAAAACAGAAGAATAATAATACCCATAGCATTATAAAATCATTATACTAAGGCTTTTCACATGTGAAAGAAAAGAATTAAACAACCTGAAAAGATGCATCTAGAACAAAACATATATGAGGGCCAACATCCTCAAAATTAAACCACAATATGAAATTGGAACTTGATGGAGAAATTTGCATGAAATTTTTATGCATGTAGCTTATAGAAATGGCTTCAATAGCTAAGAAAGAATAGTAGAGTGTCTTTTTTCTACATAATCTATATGAACTTGTGTAGTAAGGACATGAAACAAGGAATTTAGCCTATTTCAGGAGTAAAAGTTTATAAAATATATCAAAATGGTTGTCCAGATTCTGATGCCGTATCGTATCTGATTACTATTTGAGAGCCATGAAGGATAGGGGAGAGTTTCCAGAGAACATAATACCTGCCCATGTTTATCCCCATATATGTCTCTAGCCTGTCTCTGAATTGCAACAGCTGAAGTCTAGCCATACGAAAATGCCAGATCTGGCTCCCTTTATCAGATTTTGACTCTGAAAAACGGAACTGATCAGTCACATGCAGCCCATATGAAAGTAAAGCTCTTACAGCATCTTCTGACGGGCCAACCTTATCAACACACTCAGAAAGCACAAAATTGTGATCCTTTATATTGGTCAAAAACATATGTATATCATCTTTTCCTTGGCCGGAGTGCAACCACTGATATTTTAAAACTTCATCTCTGTCCAAGCCATGACGATTGGCAAAGTCCAAGGCAGCCTGATATTTACAGCTACTAATTAAGATATTGTACATTTCAGGGACAGATCTCTTTGAAAGTGAGATCAAGCTCCAGTGCAGCTGGGAAACATCATATTGATCACTTCTGCCACCCATGATCAGCTCCACATTGTGCAAACCACCTGATTCTCTATTATGATTATTTGGGTTTTTGCTATCTAAAACAAATATGTGTCCTTGAAACTGCTGTATTCTATCCAAAACCAGCATTGAATATAGGTTGTCATCCTCTCGAAACTTTAAGCCAGTAACAATATCAAGCATGGCCACAATGCCACCACGTTTTGCGAGGGCCACGATGTGGTCAGACCACCAAGTAAAATCCACAATATCACTTAAAAGGTCATCCTGTCCATTTGTTATGTTACTGGTTCCTTGTGAACCTGATTGCTCTTCACCAGCAAATCTCGAAAGCAAACAGCTTTCTTTATCCACCTTGAAAATGTGCAAGCATCCTGATATATCTAAAGTGGCGACGAATTTTCCAAGTGGTGAAATTAGCACCTTTGGACATGCTAGTATGGCATCTTTAGGTTTCAAATATAAGCCTTCAAACTGAATAGAAAACAATGGTTCCAAATCTAATTTTCGACTTCTACACCAAAGAGAAAGAATACAAGATCCTGAAAGAAAAAAATAGTTAGAATAGAACTTTGAAAACTGTCGAATGTAATTTAGAAAAGAGAACAAAGGAACAAAAAATGCTTTTCCAAGCTGCCTGAAATGGGTTTTGCACATCTATGATTTCACCACCAGCACTTTTGCCTATGCGAGTTGCATTACAATTTCGTTGGCCAAAATGTCAATTAGAATATTACTTTTTTATTATTATTTTGACAACTTCAGGATCCTCCAAAGAGTTTTTTTTAAAAAAAAAAATCAGGAAAATCTCCATAAATAGTGTGAGTAGCCTGACAAATGGGCTAGACACAAGGATTTAAATCTGAAAGTTAATGTCCTCATCTGCCTAGTAGGACTCAAAGTAAAGATCTTTCCTTGAGGAATGCAAGTCAGTCTACAAACAAAAACAAGCTTTAATACTTGCATATATAGAATGTAGTTGGAAATTCAAACTAAGTAGGATTCGATAAAAATTGTAAGAGCTTAAAGAGTTAACAAGTATCCCATTATTTGAAAGTTAGAAAAATAAGACATTGATATTCAAAATTAATCTGATACAATTCAAAAAATAAAGAAATCATTGCATGTTGGCGTATTTTGAGTAAAATGTACATTTATAAAATCATATTACATCAATTACACAAACCTCTCTACAAATTCAAACCTTGAATTGAATACCACAAAGAAAATAAAGGGTACTAAAACATACCACTCTGATTTCCACCAGACAATTGAGAGATCCCAACTGCACTACCAACAACAACAAGCAACGAAAGTTCTGAACTATAGCCAAAGCAGAAAACATCCTTAGGGAAATGCCCTAGCGACTTCAACCCACTATTTGAAACAGAAGCACTTGGATCCTTACTTAACTCAATACGATGAAGATATCCACTGGCTGTAATAATAACAAAGCTACACCTGAAAAACTTTCCAACCAATTAATCAGCCATCAAATTTACATTACTTAACACATGATCAACGCACACAAATTCAGGAACACTTACAAACAAGACTGCTGCGCATCATTATCATCCGGTGGAATCAACCCTACTATCGACGAACTCACTTTTAATTGCCGTCTATTAATTCTAGTAATCTCTTCCCCATTCACTTTGATAAAATAAACCGTATCACTATCATCAACCACTCCTAAAACACCATGAATTTCCGACCAAACCCCGCAGGTAAAGACACCACCACTACTACCTAACATAAAATCCAAAAAAAAATAAAAAACAGCAACAAAAAATAAAATAAAATAAAAAGACATTTTAACTGCCTAATCTTAAGATCTAATATTGTAATTAAAATTAAAATCTTACCTGTAAAAATGCCGTGCGGTTGCTGATAATCATTCTCTTTGGACAAAATCGTAATTTGATTTGCACTACCAACAGCAACATATTCACCTCTTGGAGAGATAAACAGCGATGAATTCCTCTTTATTTTTGTAGCTGATTTTGAATTATTAGAATTATAATTTCTGTAATCACTCCATTTCTCTTTAATTATCGACAAAAAACCGCCTTGATTTGCCTGAATTGTTCACAGAAAACACGTATTAATCAGTTAATTGTGATTAAGAAGTAGAGATCAGAGTGAAGAGAGAGATCGAGAGAGAGATACCTTGTTGGAGTGTTGAAGAGGAGGGTAATTAGAAGTGTAAGGTCTTGAGACGTGAAAACGTGTCTCGTAAAGTACTTCGTCTTCCGCCATTGTTGATAGAAGACGCCGTTCTGCGTGACCGGACGGAGAAACAAACGGCTGAAGCAGCGATGGTGATTGTGATGGTTCTTTCTTCTTCTTCAGGTAGACGTTTTTTTCTTTAAACTTGAGGAAGCAAAAGACTGGTTTTAGACTGGTTCGGTTTGGTGTATAGAGAGGCCCATTAAAATTAGAAATATTGGGCTATGAAAGTCAATTGGGCTTTTCTTTTGCTTGTAGTAATGTTGGGCTTTGGCATCCATTTATGACCGAAAATTTTATTTCTTAAGTTTTTATTTGATTTAGCTCTCAATTTACTGAAAAAAACATTTGCATTTTTTCCCTTCTTTTCTTTTTTAATTTGCGGCTGAGTTGGTCCTAAAACTATAAGTCTCAAATTTCCCCAAAATTTCTAAAAACGTCAACTTTCCCTCTCCAACTTTTTTAAAAGTTCAAATTTGTTTAATTTCTTTTACAACCTATTTACTATCAAAGAACCATCAAAACCTAAATCTAAAAATGTCTCCAACTTTTTGAAAATTTCAAAATTGTTTAATTTATTTTATAACCTATTTTCCATAAAAAAAAATCTCAACCAGAGAAGATAGTGAAATTTGAACTCATGAAATTTGGTTATCAAAATTATGATACCACGTCAAAAAACTATCTCAACCTAATAGTTTAAACTGTTAAGTGAGATTTCGGGAATAGTTTTATATTGCTCTCCACAACATTTAGAATATAATTCTTTTTATTTTTAAATAATTTTTTAAAAAATATGGAGTGAATTATAAATTAATCCCTCTATTTATAGTCCCTCTAGTTACAATAACTAATCAATGAGTCTTTATATTTTTAAATCTATTTGTAATTTAATCTTTTTCGTTATTTTTTTAATAGATAGAAATGGAAAAAAAAGAGTAAAAATATGAAACATTTGACGGAAAAATAAGATATTTTTATAGTAAAATAATATTAAAATTTCCATGATAAACACTATTTAAGGAAATAATTATCTAGTTTTTTTTAAATAAGATATTTTTATAATAAAATAATATTAAATTTACTATGATGAACACTACTTAAGGAACTAATTAATTAGTTTTTTTTTAAAAAAAAAACTATTTAATTCATTTTACTCAAAAATTACGATGGATTTGGAACATTAATTTGCGATCAAAGCTAATTGCAAAATAAGTGCGCCTTAGCCAGCTCTCCGCGTCTTTGACTTTGAGAGAATAAAATCCTTGAAAGGGATGAGAATTAATGCCAGCAATTTAATTTCCATGTGTATGTATCTATCCAAATAACTTTTTTGGTCCCCAATGAATTGACGTATTCCAAAAACACCTCAAAATCTCATCGAATGAGCAATTCAATCAGAGATCTTGAATCAAATCGGTATACGATAGCTGCAATTTTTGTAAGGCACGAGCAAAGTCAACTGTTTTATAGAATCTTTAAGCATTTTTATGATCTCAATTATCAGGATCAGCTTTGATTGTAACTCAGGAATCCCCTCCTCCTGAGCAAGCATCTTACTCAATGGCTAAGAATTTTATCAATTTGAGACGCAAATTGGAACATATACCCTGTGAAATATGATTGAGAGAGACCGTTTATGAACTTCAAAGTTGACCTATTTAATTTTGCCTCTTTTTAAATGTTTGATGCGAGTGTAGGCTATGTTAGTTGAATAAATTATTGTTTTGTCAAGAGATTTTTATATTATTCGATGATAAAGAATATTTTGATGCTAGTTTATGTACTAATAGAGATTTGATTTTTTCTCCGAATAATTTTAAGATCAAGATCGTATCTTTCACGTCGAAGTGGTGCATTCATAATAAGCGTTTTTAGATATTGATATAAGTATTCAAACTTAAAAAATCAGGACAAAAGAACACATTTTTTTAATCACCGGACCAATCTCTTAGAGTTTTTTTTTTTTTTGAAAAAAAAATCTCCTGGATTTGTTATGTAGATATATTGAAAAAGGAATTTAAAACAAGTTTAAAATAAGATCAAAGAAATTTTTTTTTTAAGAATAAGTTTATATATTAATGGTATTTCATTCTTGACAATTTAACTATAATAAAGCTAAATCAAACCCATCACACACACACACACACAAATTTATATTAAATCTAATTTCTAGAAAAAAAAAAAAAAGAAAGGAAATCCAACAAAGCAAAATTAGCAAATAAAGATTATTTTCCAATCACAACTATTTTCTACTTTAGTGTCATTTTCTAGGTAGTAAGCAATTAGCAGCCCCATTAACATTCCTGCACGTAAGATGAATTTTAATGATTTTAAAATCTGGTACGCCAACTGTCAAAAATTTCAAAGTCAGACCCTGCAAAAATACATAAATTTCTACTCCCACTATAAGTATGTTAATTTTTAATATTTTTTTAATTAAGTGTATAAATTTTAATTTTTTTTACCTGAGTACATTGTTTTTTCAAAATTATCAATTAAATATTTTTGTCTCATTTCTATCAATTTTCATTCAATCTAGACTTAAATTATAATTTTCACTTTAATTATCGAAGAGAACTTTTTCCCAATTTTTTTTACTCCATACTATTTTTAAATAGTAAATCTTAAATTTGTTCTTGTGCCTTTAGAAAAGTATTTCGTCCAATGATAATAGTTTGATTTTTCCAGTGCAATGGCGTTGGGCATCTTGGTTTTGCTTTTAATTTTAGTTCATTCTAATAACAATAATAATAGATCCTTCTATCCTTTTCTTAAATTGAAAAAAAAATAATTATTTAGTTATTATGGTTTAATGACAATTTGGATATTTACCATACAAGAAGTAGGAATAACTTGAGAGAAAAAAATCCTTAAAAAAATGAAAAAACAAAATTATAATTTAATAATCTGGAGAAAAAAAAACATATCATTGAATAACCAAACAATTGATAGAAAGTTTGATAAAAATATTTGATTGGTAATTTTGAGAAAATGATGTACTCGAATGAAAATTCATATACTCAATTAACAAAAAAAAAAAGTTAAAAAATGATTACACTTAAGTGCAACGATCCCTTTCTTTTGGTTAAGCATATGAATTTTCGACAGGTCGGTAGTTCGGCAGAGCATAACATGGACAGGTTAATCTTCTTGTCTGGGGCCTAAAATCCATGGGGAAAAGAACAATCTTGGTAATGGCAGGAATCTTTCCTGATCTAAGGCTGCGTTTGTTCGGAAAAAAACAAGTTCCTAAAACTTGTTTTTTTTCATTTTTCAGTGTTTATTTCATATTCAGGAAAAAAATCAATGGAAAATGATTTTCAATCAATGAAAAATGATAGAGTAATTTTGAAAAAATGTTTTACCAGTTTCAAAAAAGGAAAACATTTTCCTTCTCATGAGTTGTCTCGCTCTCTCGTTACATAACTCTTTCTCGATATATTTTAACAATTTTTTTCTCTATCTTCTTTTTATTTAAAATATATCATATTAATTTTTAATTATTTCTTATCAATTATTATTAATTATTTAATTATGTTTTCTCTATCTTTACTAATATTTGATTTTTTTTATTTATAGATACATTAAATATTCTTAAACATCATTTTTACACCTTAAAATTATTTTTATAATAAATATTTCAATAACTTATCTCTTTTTTTTACTATTGTCTCGATCACTACCTAAGCTATAGTTAAATGATTGAAAATGATTATTACAAGACTATAATTTTTTGTAAAAAGAAATTAAAATTAATTAATTCATCAATAAATAAATTATTTTTTTAATACTATTCATTTGCAATTAAATCAATAATTTATAATTTTAATCAATTGTAAAATTTTGTTGGTAATTGTAATGAATAATTAGTTACAAATTATTCCAACATTAATCTTTTGAGATCAAATAAATAATTATCTATAGATGATAACAAATAACTTATAAAATTATTTTTTAGACTAAATTATCAGTTCAATTTCTTTAAAAAAAATTCTTAATTGAGTTACTAAAATAATAATGCTAAGATTACTTAGAATCTTTTTTTTACCAGATATGAATATTGACTTGATTCTATCCCAAGTAATTTTGATAATTTGGTTTGATTGTTAAAAATTACATTTTATTTTTTGAATTAAAATTTTAGAGTTAGTATTGATGAAAATTTATTAAATTTTTCTAAATGTATCTTATATTATGAAATTATGAATGTCTTTTTAAAATTTTATCAAAACTTATTGATATAACAATCACATAAGTTTTTGTATTTTAATTTTCTCGTATCAAACAAACGTTGGAATATATTTTTCAGTAGCTTTTTTATATAATTACCAAATAGCAAAAAATATTTTCTTGAAAAACAATTTCCAGAAAAATAGCTTCCTCGAGAATTTGTTTTCCTATGAAACTTGTTTTCCCCCGAACAAACGGAGCCTAAAAGTGGAATTAAACTCCACCATTGAAGACAAATCAAGCTAAGCATTTCACCTTTAATTTTTCTTTTCCAAATTTTAAAATACTACAGCAAAAGGCAACATATGGTTGCTAGCTCAACATGTTTTATTTTAGATATTAAATATGAAAAAACAATATAATAAATACATCAATTTTGAATCTTTTCTCAATTGAGTATATCAATTTTTTTTCCAAGTATATAAATTTTTTTCAAAAATATCAATCAAGTTTTTTCGTCTAATTTTTCACTTAATGATGATGTGTTAGTTAACAGAGAAGACCAAATAACTATATTACTCGTTTTTTTTCTTTTCTCCTAAAAATTATTATTATTATTTAATTATTAATTTAAAAAAGTAGTTAGCTATTTTCTAATTAATAATTAAACAATAATAACAATTTGGAAAGAGAAAAAACAATATAGTTATTTAGTCTTCTCTATTAATTATCATGTCGTAACTAAATTGAAAATTAAACGAAAAAGATTGATTGATATTTTTTAAAAAATTAATATATTAAAATAAAAAATAAAAATTAATAAACTCGATTCAGAAAAAATTCAAAATTAATATACT